AACCAGTGCTCTGTGTTCAAAAGAAGAAAGTCCAGCCAGCCCCTAATACTGCCTTACCTAGCCGGCCTTCAGTAAAGACTAGAAATTCATGAATTTGTAATATTATCTTTCATAATTCTTCTGACATTCAGCTTATTTTATGTTGATGCTGTTCAGCTGTAATTTATCAATATTATTGATTTGATGTTATTTAAACAACATTAATGTCGTTCATAAGACTAATTCATTCATTCATTATAATGTACATATAACTGTAGAACCTGATGATGAATTTATCGAAAAGAGTACTCTTTGTTCCGTGTCCATTCCTATAAATTTCTCTTGATTTCCTCAATAAACGATCTGTTGCCTGACCACCCTTGTCTGTCTTCTGTCGTTACACTAATTACGAGTAAGCATCCTGATGACGCAGTAATGTTGAGATTGAAACAGGTAGGACAAGGACACTGGTTCTAGACACAGAGGTGTTGACAACGAATGCCGCTTGACTACGCCGACAGCAACATTATACTATAATTACCTGTTTCCCCAGCCATCTCTAATCAAGCCAGAACACACGAGATGTGAAGTGGGAAGTATATTTATCTGTATGAAAATAATAAGAAGTCTGTCTGATATATACAGTAATTGCCTACATGTCATTTTTACACGTATGTTGGTACTTCTCCCACCACACTTATGACCTTTGGAATCCTACTGGTAGTTCACGATCTAAATTCATTAAAGACATTAAAGTGCTTCTTAAGGTCATTTTAAACATATATATACATAAATATATATGTATACGCAACCTCTGTCAACCATTTTTGGCTGTTGTTATGACACAGTAAAAGCTGTCTTACCAACGTCCAGTCTTCTCTTCTATCTTTGCAGCCCGGCGGTATTACTGTTGTTGTTGACGTGCGATTATGACAGATTAGCCGGAGCATTCAAGTTATTATTTGCTCACAGTCTGCCAAGTCATAACACTGCCAGACAACTTCGATCCAATCTCACCATAAATATGTGACATATCTGACTGCCTATCAACTACTTATCAAGATAAAACGCTAAGGTTGATGATTATTTAAACTGTCTTGGTTTCAGCACACATTGAGCTAAGCTGTCCAAATAAATAGCATTACAGTTGAACTATAGTTTGGACATATCACTCCTAATGTATGTAGATGAATTAGCCAGCATGTAGAATACCGTTAACCGTGTCTTTTTGCACTTCTGCTTATCAGTAGTGATCACAACCGCTAGTCCACACTTAAACTCTCCTGAAAATGTGATGACGTCTACCCATGGTGTAGCATGTCCCACCACCACCGTCAGGTGCTCGCTGACTACCACTGGATCTCTGAGTGAAAGGGCTGATTACATCCGCGGATCATGACTAGAATCGACTGCAGTGACGGTCGTATGCACTGACCCCCTTTTTCAAATAATGCTGCAGAGAGTCCAGTACATATTGTGGAACATCTCTCATACACCTGGCTGGTTGGTACATGCTTTGCCTCAAGAAGTCAACTGCTCTGGTTACACTTTTCGTATGCTCTTGTATCATCTCATGGCTTAAACACTGAGGTATCATCCATCACCAACTAACTTCCATCATTCTTTCGTAAAGTCAAAGTTCCGTAAGCGTTCAATCTTTATTTGACTCTTAATACTACACCTATTCCATAATCACTCGCATCCGTAGACATCGTGAACTGTTTTCCGTGTACAGATTGTTTTAAAAGCTGTTTTATGCCACTGCATATCTTCTGTGAGTGTGCTGATCGAACAAACACATTTTGATCCATCTGGTAGCTCGTACAATGGAGTTGTTATCTCCCTGAATTTTTTCAAAAAGCAACTATAAAACGCTGGTGTCTCAGTCTTCTCCTTCAATTCGGAACAGCAGTGGTCGTTATAGTTAAGATTTTCTTCACATTACTACTATTATTATTGTTTCCTTTAATTCCTAGAAGAACATAGGGCTTCAACCGTGCGTCTCCATTGCCTTCGGTTCTCTCCTACAGTCTTCACCTGGCTCCAAGTCTCCCCACACACTTTCATCTCCTCTTCACATCACCTCCTCCAACTCACCCACCCTCACACTGACGACCAACTCGCCGCTTCCAATACACTCGGGTTCCACTCGAGCAATGGCTGGTCTAGTGATGTCACTCACTTGATGGTTTGTTTCCTCAGAGTATGACCAGCCAATCCATCTCCATTTCTTCCTGCCTATCTGTTGCACAATCTGTTCCTGCTGTGTTGGTTGGTTCGCTCATTGCCAGAGATCCCTCTCTGTTGCTGATCTTTTCTGGCCGGCCATCTGATCTTCAATGGTATTGAGCGAAGACAGTTGTTAATGAAGGTCTGCAGTTTGTTTGAGATGCTCTTTATGACGCGCGGTACAAGTCTCTGATCCATCCGTATAGTGAGTAGCACTGACTGACTTCACATTGGAGCTAAAAATCCGGATCTTATTTTCATTTTCATGCTGAGTAGGGCTGTTGACCTCCTGCACACAGACTTGAGAGTAGTGAAAGCTTGCTTGTCTTGCTTTTCCGATCGTCGCTGCTTTGATATCCTCGTTAGTTCCGCTGGCCTGTGGTTGAAACGATGCTTCCCAGGTAGGTAGGTGAGTGAAGGAGGTTGTTTCTTTCAGGTTCCTCCCATTTATGCTGGCTGATTGTTGTCTGCTGTTGTTGTTGCTGTTGGCCAGGAGTCTTCATCACCTCTGTTTTCTCAATGTTCACCTGAAGTCCTATCTTTGATGCTCAAACTACTGTTGACAATAATGATATAATACAACTTAAAGGACCTAAACAAACTCATCAACTGAGGGAATAATCCTCACACAGTTTTATTTCCACGTGTTAGTTTCTCGGCATTCGACTGGTCTCAAGCTTGACCACCACTATTGACTGGCTACAGGATGACGTTGCCTGGAGTTCTGGTGAGAAATCGTGACCAATGTGCTTGACCCTATATGCCCGGTGTGACAATGGTTGGCGGTGACGCTAAAAAAAATCACGAATTGACACAAGTTAGAATGCATCATGGATGGACCACTGGATTCCCTTCCAACAGCTGAATGGTGGTCAACGAAGTCTCCTCCTCCTAACTAGGAAGTGAAGGGGGTGTGCATACTGCTGAAGAGTTCCAAACTGAAAACTGTGAAACACTGAACTATCATCCAGTACCTCCCCCTGGTTTTCACAATAGCTCTCTCTCTCTGTAACCGATATCATCATCAGTCTGTGATCAAGCTTTCGAGATTTCACACATCTAGCTGGTCATGCGAGAAATAAATGTGAACCTGGCATATAGGAGGAGTATAGTAACACGGAAGAAAAAGTTAAACTGAAGCCTTTCTCCTCATCTTTAATAACTGTTGTTAACAGCTAATATCAACAACAACAACAACAACAAAAGATAAAAAATAAAGAAATCACAAGGAAATAAACATGTATAATTTCAGGGTGAACACAAAATGTTTCTAAATATCACTTTTACAGAGGAGTTTCATCCTGCTTATAAAGGAGAAGCAGGTAGGTATATGAGAAAGACAAAACTAGGTTAGAGTAAATGTGTAAGAGAAGAGGAAACTATATGAAGGAGTAGTACATATATTAAAAAAGAAAAGAGAAAAGAAGAATTAATCTAAGATTATGTTTGCAATGAAACAAAAGAAATTACCTAAGAGACGGAAAGAGGCAAGGCGAGAGAGAGAGATAGAGGCGCTAGAGACAAAATGTATGAAAAACACAAAGGGATCTATCTATGCACGATAGCGTATGTAAGTTAAAAAATAACACACAATTTGAACAAAGGTAAACAAACCAATCTTGTCAACAACTGTGAGTTTAGTTTTTATTGTCTTCTCAAAAAACAAAGTACGGATAAAAAGCGTAAGGGGGGGGGATACACACAGCGATGATGCAGAGATAGACGGGTGGGAGTGGGGAAATGAACAGGAAAGCACAACGTTCTTCACTTATTATTATTATTATTTAATAGACATCCTTTTGGATAATTTACATTTTTCCTCGTCTCATCTTGTCAAGTGTTGAAAGGGAAATTGAAGGTTGTAAGCAGAAGACTGAACCAGAGAAAAACGATAGTAATAATAATAATAATAATCATAGGGGCAAATGAGAAGTTGTCAGCTGCACTTCACCCACACCAAACCGTGAATGAATATATACATGCATACATACATGAAGTTAAGTTAGGATGGATTTCCTTAACTTCTTAATGAAAGCGGAAACTTATAATAAAGGAAGAAGGAATCCTTTAACACACATCCATTGGTGGGTAGGTAGGTATTTATGTTATGTGTGCATACGATGAGATATGAGATAAAGCAAGAGGGCAGTATGGGGACACAGGCAATTTGGGACACAAAAACTGGTCAATAAATAAATCGATAAATAAACGAACGAACGAACTAACCGCATAGAACATGTTAGGCGGTGATAAAGTAAGCCCTTCTTCTTTTTCACTCTTTCTCTCAATAAAAACTAATTATCATAATACTGATTTCATTTCCTTAAACAATAAACAAAATACATACATTTTATCAATTGTGAGCAAAACTATGGATGGATAAAACAAGGGGAGGAGGGGTAAAGAAAAAAACAAAACACAAAAAAAAAACAATAACTGCACAATGTCTCACAGTACAATTGAACAATAATAACGACAAGAAAAAGAAGAATAAGAAAGAGAATGATAAATTTTTAATATTAGTTGCCATTGTACATTGATCAAAATTTCACTACTACTTTCACAATTTGTATTCAAAGTTGTTGAAGACACAACAAACAAATAAAGTGAATTGTGTTGTTATGTTATGATTGATGAACAACAATAAATTGAAAAAATCCTAAACAAAACATTCAAAACTGTTGAACTATAATAATAATAATAATAATAATAATGGTGATTTAAAACAATTTAATTCATATAACAACAACAACATTGAATATTGAGCAAATAGAGAGAAAAAAAGATGGGTAAGAAGGAGTCAGAGAGACGGAGAAAGAGGAAAAGGATTGTGCATATATATAAATATAAATATATAGTAAATATTATTTATTTATTTATTTATTGAAGAATTATTCAAATAGTATTTGTTGTTTATTATCATAAGATTCAATTAAATGCTCTTCAAAACAAATGAAACGTGAAGGTGTCATCGAATGTGAACCCATCGTCCCACCACCACCACCACCAGTAACTAAAGGTGATAGGTGATGATAAGAAGGTTTGTTAAATGGAGATAACCAAGCCGCAGCAGATCGATGTCTTACTGATCCGGGAACCTACGAAAAACACGATATAATAAACAGTGATGTATAATATCAAAGGCAATAATCGAACTATTGAAGATATATATATATGTGATAGAGAAAATTTGTAGCTCAGGTGGATAATTTTCATGTGGTTGTGTTCTCTGAGCCAACTGGATAGTTAATTTGCGAAGCTTTCATCATCCTACTAGGTGACATCTTCAGCGAATACTTCAATTTGTTGACGTGAGCTTTCAGATTTCTCCACGAGTTTATTAATCATCTCTCCCAGCGGGTGACCTTGGACGTGACTGGTTGTTTTTGTGTGTTTTCACACCTTCTAGGTTACTTGTATTGTCCACTCATTGTTTCTTTGACTTGAACTTTGACCCTTTGTGTGTGAGGTTTCTTTCTTATCGCTTGATAAATTTTGTCAATCTCGATGTGTCTATTGGTTGACAATTCACTGGAATGCCAAGATTCTAAAAATTCTCTAGCATTCTTGTTGTTTCCTCCATCTAATATTTGAACGTTGTCCCAGTCGAATTGATATCCGTGGTTGTCTGTATATAGTGATATGAGGGAGTGGATATCATGTCTTTTGACAGCTAGCTTATGTTCGTGGATACGAAGACGAAGGGGACGTCCACTGTGGCCAATGTAGTGTTTTTCGCAGTTGATACAATTTATTTTGTAAATGATGTTGGTTTTATCTTGTTTCTCTGTTGAGTCTTTTGGTTGACATAGAATTGAGTGAAGTGACTTTGTTGGTTTGTGTACGACGTCAATTCCTAAAGGTTTGAAGAGTCTTGTAGTGATTTCCGAGATGTCCTTTATATATGGTAAGGCGATTTTGTTTGTGCTTTCCTTGGGGGCTTTTGGTTTGATAGGTTGACTTAGGGGTATATGTCTTTTGATGAAATTCCGTGGATATCCATTCTTTTGGAAGACGTCCATGAGATATTTTTCTTCAATTTTCCTTGAAGTGGGAGTGCTGCAATGAGTCCTGGCTCTGTTGAATAGTGTTTGTATACAATTCCTGTTGTGTGCTATTGGATTGTTGCTGTTGTAATTCAGGATTTGGTCTGTGTGAGTTGATTTTCTATAGACTATAGAAAAAATCAATCTTATCGGTTGGTAAACTTTGCCAAGCTTGGCATTCCAGTGAATTGTCAACCAATAGACACATCGAGATTGACAAAATTTATCAACTGATAAGAAAGAAACCTCACACACAAAGGGTCAAAGTTCAAGTCAAAGAAACAATGAGTGACAATACAAGTAACCTAGAAGGTGTGAAAACACACAAAAACAACCAATCACGTCCAAGGTCACCCACCAGGAGAGATGATTAATAAATTCGTGGAGCAATCTAAAATCTCACTTCAATTCGAATTGAAGTATTCGCTGAAGATGTCACCTAGTAGGATGATGAAAGCTTCGCAAATTAACTATCCAGTTGGCTCAGAGAACACAACCACATCTATATATATATATATATATATATATATGTAAACTTCCAACTCATAACATATTTCAACTATACAGACGACGACAACAACAACAGATGAACATCGAACAAACTAGAAATACAAACAATAACGCAAAGGGACTACACGTGTGTGTATGTGTGTGTGTGGGTGTATGAATTCAACAATAGGAAAGTGTGTTAATGCTTTTGTCTTGTGCGTAAGGCTTTCTTTCTCATCTAGAGAATGAAACTTCAATGAGATCTATTTTAGGCAAACATAAAGAATATAGCAGCAGTGTGGGGTGAGAACGCACGCACCAATGATGACCTTGAAGGCATACCAATTGTTGAATTACAGAACCTGACATTGCTGTATTCTACATTATATTATATTTATGAGAAAAATTAACATAATAATAATAATAATAATCATGGAAAACTGAAGACGATATTTTAGCCTGGCGTAACTGAAAAATACTTCCCAATTACAATGAATGGTAATTCCATATTAGTTTGTTTATTATACGTATCACACAGTGTGGTGAAACAGTATTACTGTTTACTGGATGACAAAGTTTCGAACACAATTCATTATTGCTGTTCATAATCATATCACACGACTTTGAAACTTGAGTTTTATAGTTTTCTTTGTTCTCTCCTATTTGTCGTCGTAGGCGTGGTAGTAGAATTTTCCAGATATCTGGGTGGACAGGTGTTGAATCATTCCTATTACATGTATTTGTAGTTGATTCGATAAACAAAGCTTCTGTTATCAATCTCTCCTTCCATTCACCCTGTGACATTAGATTTTAAAACTGTCTGTCATCCTATCCCATCCAGCCTATTTTATGGTTGTGTGTAACTGCATGTAGTGAGTGTTATAGCTGAACTATTCTCTAGATTTCTTATCTTATTTGGATCAACCAATCTAGATTTCGCTGCTAAGTTTTTATGTTCAGCTAGTCTGTCTGACTGCCCCTGTCCTACTAGTTTGACCTATGCATTTGACCTGACAATCATTGCAGGCAGGGTATTAGATAAACTAAATTGTTTTGTTTTAAAGGCTCCACAGAATTGATCCTTTAACCGACAAAGCTTGTTTCTAATTGAGTTTGTGGGTTTGAATGCCACTTTTATTCCTACCAGCATTGTTAAGAATTCTGCGTAAGGTTTCTGAGGTTCCTTCCTTGTATGGAATTACTACTGATGATTTAGATTCCTTATTATTGGTGTCGTCATTAATATTATTATTATTATCACTATTGTTGTTATTATTACTATCGCTACTATCATTATTTATTTTATTTTTACATTTCCTTACATATTTCCTGACTAATTTATCAGGGTAATTATTAAGTTTCAAGGCTTCTTTTATGTGTGTATCAGTTCCTGTTTTAGATTTTCCTTGGTACTACTTAATTTTTGTGCTCTGTCATTTAAACATTTCACCAATCCTATTTTTACTGACATAGGATGGGACGATCGGAAGTCCAAATATCTCTTTGAGTGTGTGGGTTTCCTGTAAACACACTGATGTGTTTAACTTCCCATCTTCTTTCCTTTTAACACTGCAATCTAACATTGGAAGCTACCCTTCCTGATTTTCCAATTCATAAGTGAATTGAAACAAAGTCGTGTGATTATTACAATTGATGAAATGATTATGAACAGTAATAAATTTTGTTCGAAACTGTGTCATCCAGTTAACAGTAATACTGTTTCACTCACTGTGTGATACATCTAATAAACAAACTAATATAGAAGATTTTGGTAGTCCAAGTTTTAAGCAAAAGAAAGCGCTTCGTTCCTTCGCTTATATCTCGTTATCATAAACTTTTAATAAGCAAAAAAACAAAACAAAGAAACATCAGAGGGACTAACACACCACACCACACTGACAAAAACAAAAAGAAGAACAACATAAATGGGAGAAATAAAAAAACGTGGTCTACAACAGTGAATACCACAGATATTTTTTGAAATTATACTGACTGATAAAGCCATATTAAACATTGAATAATCAACAATAACAATAACTACATTATTACACCATTTATCATTATTATTATTGTTATTATTATTAGTGGTATTGCTGGTGATGATGTATGGCTGGATGGTGATGATGATGCTAATAGAGCTCAAAATCAGTAGAGATAATTTACACTTACTGTCAGCAAAGGTTTTCGTAGACGAACACTAGGGATGGATTATTTTGTAAATAGTAAAATGCAACATAACATAATAATAATAATACTTGAATAAAATAAAGTTATATATATATAAATTCAATACACAATACACTTCATGAAATTTCTTATTTTCAGTAGAACAATTTTTGAACAAAGCAAGAACAACAATTGTACCAGATGATAATATGAGCTCATCTTTTATTATTTCGAGGATTCTTCTCTTCTCAACTGGTTACAACCTGAACGATAAAAAATATATGAATTACATTACATTAAAGATTTGAACATACTTTTCCACGAACGATCACAAGGAGTAATTGTTTGGTAGGAAGTAAAAGTAACATTAGTCCGGAATGATTTAACTAATTAAGAGTTACAAACACTGACTATTTATAGAATAATTCAAATGAACTGTGATCAATATTTGACAGTTTATAAATATTTATAGAATAATTAGACAATTAGGCTTGGAAACAAAAACAGAGTTGCATATATATAGAAACAAGGTTTAGCTAGAAAGAGGATAACAAAAAGGTAGATTACGTAACTAAAGAAAATGCTTTATCTAATAGCCAATAGAAAAAAGGAAGAGTAAAGAACAAGAAAGGGTGAGTCATGTTTAGATGAGAGAGTAGAATTTTCTAAACAAGAAAAAGGTGACTCATACAAATTGTATATTTTTGTTGTCACCAGGGCAGTGCAAGATTCACCACTGTCTCTTTCTGCGTACATAGATTTGGTTTAAGTCGTTTGATAGCAATTGCTTCAGCAAAACGTAGCAAAATAGGTTTCTTCTGCTTGTTGATTATTTTGAATGACTTCAAGTTGTCTACATTATGACCAGTGTCTAATAGATGACGCGAAATTGCACTGTTTAATACTTGTGGACCTTTCAGTCTCAGGTTCTTTAGTATGTGTTCAGAAATGCGGACAATAACCCTTCTCTCTGTTCTTCCGATGTATGTGCTTTGGCACGTACATGTAAATCGGTAGACACAGTTGGAGGTAACATCATCTATTAGACACTGGTCATAATGTAGACAACTTGAAGTCATTCAAAATAATCAACAAGCAAAAAAAACCTAGCTTGCTACGCTTTGCTGAAGCAATTGCTATCAGACGACTTAAACCAAATCTATGTAGGCAGAAAGAAAGTGGTGACAATAAAATATACAACTTGTATGAGTCACCCATTTTTCTTGTTAAGAAAACTCTACTCTCTCATCTAAACATGACTCACCCTATCTTGTTCTTTTCTCTCCCTTTTGTTTCTATTGGCTATTAGATAAAGCATTTTCTTTAATTACGTAATCTGCTTTTTTGTTATGCTCTGTCTAGCTAAACCTTGTTTCTATACACACATATATATATATGCAATTCTGTTTTTGTTTCCAAGCCTAATTGCCTAATTATTCTATAAATATTTATAAACTGTCAAATATTGATCACAGTTCATTTGAATTATTCTATAAATAGTCAGTGTTTGTAACTCTTAATTAGTTAAATCATTCCGGACTAATGTTACTTTTACTTCCTACCAACCAATTACTCCTTGTGATCGTTCGTGAAAAAGTATGTTCAAATCTTTAATGTAATGTAATTCATATTCTTTTATCGTTTAGGTTGTAACCAGTTGAGAAGAATCCTCTAAATAATAAAAGATGAGCTCATATTATCCTGGAACAATTGTTGTTCTTGCTTTGTTCAAGTTTATTAATGGGAAGAATTGCATGAAGTTTTTGAAGAACAGTTTTTCTTAAAACGCCTTATATATCAAATTCAAATAAGAATTACTAAAAAAAGAAAAGGGACGAATATTAAGTCTCAAGTATTGGTTTTGTAGAGATTTTGTTTGATTGCATGGAGGATTTCATCATGAGCTGACATAAGTTAGAGAACCACTCACTGGCAGAAGTTAGAATTCATGGGCTGGCCATTGGATCGGGTCCCAGTGGCTCAATGGTCTACGAGCTCGCTAACCTTGTAACCAGAAGGTCTTGGGTTCGAACCCTGGCGATGTGTGGGTGCGTGCTGCTGAAGGGTCCCAAACTAGACTGACGAAACGATTGTCCAGTACTCTCTGCAGGTTTTCCAGTGGTTCTCTAACTGATGTCAGCTCATGATGAAATCCTCCATGGAATGTTAAGTCAACCGAATGATCAAAATCAATACGTAGTGTATGGGTATATGAAGGCCTTTGACAATTGATTTGAGCCAGTCATATAAGGAGAGGTAGACTGTTGTCTGTTTGGCGTCCCCACAGGGTATTGAGAATGATTGACTTGATGCTGTTTGGTAATATGGTCGAGGGTGTGTGTGTGGGGGGGTAGAATTCGATTTTCCTCTCGAAATACTTTCATGCAGCTATGCGCGTTCATAGACACTGCCAGATAAGTCCTATTTATTACTTTCAGGTGGCAGCGGTGTTCTTCACAGAAGTGAGAAAGGTCGAATGCGAACGTTTCACACTTACAACCATACTGGTGTGGACATGATGATCTATCTACCTAGGAGAGCTAGAAAACATGGGCTAAAGAATCCGACACGATCGAATGGCATACGAAGCTATTTTGATCACTGTCAACGGTGGGAATGTAGCTCCTGACACTGATCCACTTCCTTGTGGATGGGGCGCTTCAATCAAAGGCTGAGGTGGTGGGGGAGAATGGGGTTAGCCCCTTAAAAACAGCTAATTTCTTTGACGTTTTGGCGTCCAGGAAGTATCTGAGTCATCCCATAGACTATGGAGAATTTGTGTGGCACAACTCTTGGTGGTCATAATGTGTACCAAAATAATTGGTGATGATATGGCTTAAAACTGTTCACAATGGGACAGATGCGCTCTCTCACTCACTTACTCTTTGTGACCTCCAGTATTCATTAAATCCTCTTGTTTTTCCATATCACTATTATTTTTACATCTCTGAGAATAGCCTTTACTAGTCGACGATTGCTGTTCAACAACCTGAAGGACAAGATCCCACTGTTGACCAACTCTATGTGTGTATTTATCAATTCACCTGCTCGTGTGGAGCTAGGTATATCGGTCGGTCGACTTGAGTTTTGTTCAAGAGGGTGCAAGAACACTATCCTGCATGATGGTTACGAAGAGGTGGAAGTAGAATAATAAGAAGCGCGATCATTGAACATCTGGTCGATAATGATCACCCTATCTCTCTCCTATAGCCTCCGCCTTTAAAGTCATCTACAAGGCAAAGAGTAATTTACCGAAACCACTATGTACCCGACTCATCTGTAATGCTGAAGCCATCTTTGGCTATCGAAACAGAAAAGCCAGAAAGATCTCTGTGTACAGAAAAAGTTCGTTCAACCCCTCCCCTCCAACTTTCATGGTCTTAATCCCTACCCCTATGCTAAAGTATGGTAATCCCCAATCATATTTTAGCTCTACCAATTTTTCATTTTTGTCTATTCGGTTTGTATACTCTTCCTTATTACGTCAATTGTTACTATTACTATTCTCACTTTCAACTGTCCCCGGTATTATTTCACTTGTTCCACTTGTCATTCTAAATCAATTCCTTTTTACAACATTAAATTCTACGCTATTAAATTTCACACAATATTACGTGACGTTTTTATTTTATTCGATTTGCCTACTAATCTTATAATTGCACACCCTTTTCAAGTTCTATCCATCCTATGAATTATTCTATATATGACATTAATTGTTTGTTTCGCCACTTGACATTTAACTATGATTATAATAACAAATATTTCAGTTTTAATTGCATTTCATATTATTATTATTTAATACATTCACACCTATGATTCAATGCCCTCACTGGATATGACTCCTTAAAAACCATATATATACGATTGTACAGCTTGATGATAAATTCGTTGAAAAGAGTCTCCTCACTGAATCATTTGTTTTGACTTTCTATTATTTTTCTCCGATACATTTCTGCTTATTGTGGTTTTTTTAAATCCTGAATTTTACCTTTCTCTACCTTTGTGTGCTACATGAAGTGTGTGTGGGGTTGCCGTGCTGCGCAAAGTTCTATGCTGAAATTCAGTCAGTCATAAAACATACACGATTACCTATGAGACGAGGATGTCAAATCGAGAATCACGAAGGCGAGAAACACATTCATCAACCTGAAACCAATCTGGAAATCTTCCACTGTCACTCAACTCAGCCAGCATCAACAACAAAATTCGGATTTTCAATACAAACGTCAGTCAAGTCAGTCACTTCTTCTATACGGATGGATCAGAAAGTTAGCGGCGGGTCACAAAGAATGAGTATTTCCAACAGCCCGTTGCACACCTTTATCAACAACTAACTAACTGTCTTCCCTGGCTCTATACTCAAGATCAGATGGCCGCCGGAAAGAACAAGAACCAACAAGAAACAAACAAACTATGGGAAGAAACAAACGAAACAAGGACCAATCGCCGAACAAATATGCAGGAGAAAGTGGAGATGGATGGATTGGACACTCACTGGCTGAGGAGGCCACTCGCTGGGTGACATCGCGTGTCAGGCCAGTGCTCGAGTGGAACCCGAAAGGGAAGCGGTGGCGAGTGGGACGTCAGTGGAAGGGTGACATGGAGGAGATCGTGTGAAGAGGAGTTGAAACAGTATGGACTAACATGGAAGCAGGTGAAAAGTACAGCAGAAGACAGAAGCAAGTGGAGACGTGTAGTTGAAGCGCTTTGTTTCACTAGGAACCCAAGGGATTAATAATAATTATAATATAATAATTACCTATGAGATAAAAAAGTGAAGTTATATGAGAATACTTTTGATGAAGTCAAAAAGAAAGAGAAAATAATTGGACAAAGACATATAACAAGCAGCTATTCATCATCCTTACCCGATATTCACATCAGTATTTGTAGTAACTTTTGGTTTACGTGTACACATAGTCCTGAAAATAAATATATTATAAAAAAAGATAATGACATCAAAATAATCGATAAACAAAAACACAAAACAAAACACATAAACATAAGCTCGTTCCCGTCTATCGAACAACTTGCACTTCGATGCAATCAAACTCTTGCATCCTACCTATTCTTCTTTATTGTTCACCCTTATTCTTTCCTAGTTTGCTTAAAAAGGACTTTGTCACAATTCGTAGAATGCTGAAGACGGTCAGTAGGATGAGTGGTGTCCCAGTGGACCACATAGTTAACGTCGTTGTCGATAGGCACTTGACTTCGTGCAATAAATTTGCTAGAGGTATTTCGTCTGACATGGAGCATCCACTTTACCCTCAGCTTTCACCTTGCATCTCCTCAGGTAGAACAAGAAGTAACTTCAGAAAACTGAATGCTCGCACGTCTAAGTATAAAAATTCTATGATACCATCCATACTTGGCACGTATTTTATGTGATGAAAATAGTGTCAGGCAAGAAATAACTGACCTTTCCTCATCTAGTAAATAAACAATCTCCTCCATCCATCCTTATATACCTTCAAGTTTTACTTTTATTATTTCTATTATATTTATGGTCCCGTTGATTCTTTGTTTTTACTTTCATAACTGCAAACACCAACTTATCTCTATGACTTCTGTAATTTTTGTTTTTTCCCTCACCATATCATGTAAAGAGAACATTATATTCAATATTTTTAATCATGCAAGGACCTGTATACAGCATCGACAATACTGTGTGAAACAAGCCCACGGCAATTCCCACTTGTATTATTAATATCACCTTAACTGCTATCATCATTATTATTTCCATTTTATATGCTGCAAGTTTTTTATTCTTTATTTTTTCTATATTAACCCTATTGTAAATGTAGAAAAATTTTCTGTGATTAATTTTATTTATAACTTGAGGAAATTAGATGCAATAATGTGATTAATGCTGAAAATTCCATTCTGTATCACAAGTACTGTTTTTGGAATAAAGTAAATTATTATTATTATTATTATTATTATTATTATTATTAAACCAGACTTATGCATACAGAAAGAGAGTGTGATTAACCTCTCATTCCCTTGGTAACTGAATTTTGGTTTTGGTTACAATAATAATTAGTCATCTAATTCAGTGATCTCAACTCACTGAACAAATCTTAATCTCATAAACTGTAACCGCTTTTGTTTTTGGAGTTGCTATGTGAACCTACAAGCTAACACTGTTTCTGTGAATCAATTTTCTGTTTTCTGTCTTACCCCTCTTCCCTCTTTTCAACTTTAAAAGTGTATAAATTGATGATGATAACTTAAACTAAAAATTGCAATGCTTTCCTTCTCTTTTGGATGCGTCAATTTTATCTCTTCTCTACTACTACTCAAACATTAAAGTATGTTATTATCATTTACATAACCATTGTAATTTCAGGTAGTCTGCAGCTGATGAGAACCTGTGAAATAGAATGATATCATTTTTACTGCAAATTTCGTCTTCCATTCTTTATCGAAATATCAAACATCCCAGATATGTAAAACGCTCTATTCACCTCAAGGAATTGGAACGTGTCACTTACATTCTAATACCGCATAATCTCAATGTTCTAACCAATGAATTACAGTCAGGTAACATTGTCAACAATAATGTAGTTTTCAAGGAAATACTTCCTCGATGGATTGTCGTCAGTGCCGTCGGTTTCTTGGTTTTCAATCATTACATTTTCAAAAGTAAAACTTTTACTTTAGAGACGCTTCCTGAAACAGTTTCCTATTTTTTAGTTTGAATTTATCAACTTTAAACAACACGGGAACCATTGTTTGTGTCGAATTATTGAGCATAAATCCTTTTTTAGCAACTCTAAACAATAGGAACCCAAAACAGAACGACCTACGAACGCACAAATGACCTTGAGCAACCGATCAGGTGACTGTTTTTTCCAGCAATAGGTTTTTGGGGATATACGACACCAGCTTCCAGAAAGGACATATTGAGGCGACCCCTAAGCGCAGGGCATGTGTATTATTGCCTATTATCTTAGTGCTGCCTGGGACGACTATTGTCGTTTTTTGAGCCTTCTTATTGGTCCTTGACAAGGTCATTTGTGCGTTCGTAGGTCGTTTCGTTTTGGGTTCCTATTGTTTAGAGTTGCCCCTTTTTTTCTATTCGTTGTAACAAAGCCACAACAACCATTATCAAGCTTGAGTAGAACAATTCATTATCCGGTGTTAACAGATTTATTTGAAATATGGAGTAAAAAATTCTGCAGGCGGTACTTCCGTTTCAATTTCATTCAGTAACATAATGGATACAGATGTAGTTCATTGGCTCTCATTGCTACTCAACTTCCAGTCAGTGGATCCAGGGTTCGAATCCCATTCCACCTACACTTCAGCTTGGACAACTGAACAGTTTCACCAGCTTTCGCTAAATAAATAGGAGGTAACTTTTGTTCTTGTTTTATTCCAATACAGTCAAGTTTGCAATGTGATCATAAAACTAGGCTACTCGCCATCGTTTTACACTTTAAATTGATGTTAGATGATAGGAAGAACTAATTAATGTAGTTCATTATAATAAAGGTTTTTTTGTATTTCTCAATGAATGAAAAACAAAACGATACTACAACCACTGCAAAAGGACACTCAGAATATTGTAAAAAATTCATATGATTCCAAATCCCAAATAGAGAACACCAAGAAATTGATAAAGAAGATATTATGTTAAGCTGTAATATTAACTCATTATACACTAGTATCCCTTTTACCGAAAGTCTTGATATCATTTCCAGTCTACTAGAATCAGATACAACGCTATCACAAAGATGTTTACTGGACACCAGTGAAATAATTAAGAGTTTGAAATTCTGTCTAAAAAGTAACTATTTTACATTTAAAGGGAATTTGTATAGACAGACAAATGGTGTTCCTATGGGCTCACCAGTCTCTCCAATAGTCGCTGATGTTTTTATGAATAGATTCGAAGATAACATCTTTTCAAGCATACTCACTCGATAAAAATGTGGTTAAGATATGTAGATGATACGTTTGTAGTGCTGAGACGATATCTACACAGTTCATTCTTGAGGAAAATAAACAATCTATCTCACAGAATCCAATTTACTTCGGAAGCAGAATCAGACATCGGTGAACTTCCATTTCTAGACTACCTAGTTAAGAGGAGGGAAAAAGGACATTTTAGTATGCCTATATTCAGGAAGAAAATAAATAAATATTTAGACTTCGGATCATCACAAACCCATAGGTGCAAAGGTATCAGTTGTCTCAAGTCTTCTTAGATAAGCACACTCTCTGATAACGGATGAGAAAGAAAAAGAAGAAATATTCTCAAGCAAAACAACTACTCAAAGAAATTCATCAACAAAATCAACATTGACATTAAGTATGGTCGAAAATGTATTCAGAAAACATGGATCTCAACATTTGTCATTCCATATAGAGCAAAGACATCAGACTATATCAGAAGAGTACTCAATCAGCTCGACATCAGAGTTTTATTCGAAACATCAGACACACACTACAAAGCAACCTTGTCCATATAAAAGACCAGGTCCCTAAATATTCTCTACCTTATTGTGTCTATAAAATAAAATGCTTGGAATGTGATGCGATATACATCGGACAAACATCTCGATAAATCGAAATCCGAAGAAATGAACACCGTAGAGCATCTGTTCGATCACCGAGAAATCCAGTTGAACTAGAAAAGCTTGAAAAGTCATCAGCCATAGGTCTACATGCTATAGAGTCAGGTTACAAAACTGATTTTGACAATATCGAAATAATCCAGAAAAATTTCATAAATCTCAAAGAACGTCTAATATGAGAAGCATTTCATATCAAATGGAATCCAAATTTTCTGAGCTGAATAGGAATGATGGACTAAAACAGAATTTGACCTGGTTACAACACCACCCTCCCCCATGAAATGACAAAATCAACACGAATGTGATAAGCAAGTTCACTATGTAAACACACGCTGCTTTCATAATTTTAAACACTTATCAAATCCAACAATCTACACTCGGTTTTGTTATCTTTACCAATTGGTCAACATGGCAACGAAAAATGACTCCATGCTGAGGAACGATGATTAAGTTGTTACATATATAAGCTGAGATTTTGTAATAATAATAATACTTTGATAAAGCTATTGGAAGTACTAAATAGCGAAGCATCAGTAAAAACAACGATATCATTTTGTTTTTCATTCATTGGGAAGTACAAAAAAAACCTTTATTATAATGAATATCACATACCCAATGGCCAAATTTTTTCAAACTGTTAAAAGTGAACTTGGTTTGGACATATAATAATACAATTAATGTAGTGATTATTAAGCGATTAGTTCAGAATTTATGGTTCTCAAGGGGGATATTTGAATACTGTATTAGCTGTTATATGCATAAAATATCATATATAGATTTCTGAACAACTGGAGGTACTATCGATGCTATGGTGAATTGCAAACAGCAGGTTATTCAATGAAATACAATAGATGGTTGAAGAAATTTTATGCATCCGTTGATACTACTTGCAATAATCAGTAGCATATTTTTAGTGAAGCAATTTTACCACGGAGTAACAGTTCAAAGACAAAAAAACCAAGAGAAGAATTTGAGCACTGTATTAAGAAATAGTTTCAAATTAGGTAAATTGATTTGAAATAATACCCGGTGATACATTATTTTTAACTGGACGTTATTACAAGCAAAACTGACTGCTCATAATCATCAATGTATTCACACGACTTCCAAACTTAATATATGTGTAAAACTTGGGCACTGTGGTAGTAAGTAATTCCATATTAGTTTGTTTATTAGATATATCACACAGTCAGTGAAACAGTATTATTTACTGGATGACACAGTTTCGAACAAAATTTATTGTTCATAATCATTCCATCAATTATAATCACACGACTTCGAAACTTGAGTTTTATAGTTTTCTTTGTTTTCTCCTATTTGTCGTCGTTGGGGTAGTAGAATTTTCCAGATATCGGGGATAGGTGATGAATCATTCCTATTACATGTATTTGTAGTTGATTCGATAAACAAAGCTTCTGTTATCAATCTCTCCATATACCCTGTGACATTAGATTTTAAAGCTGTCATCCTATCCCATCCTCTTGTATGCCTGTGTGTAACTGCATGTAGTGCTATAGCTGAACTATTCTCTAGATTTCTTATCTTATTTGGGTCAACCAATCTAGATTTTGCTAAGTTGACGATAGTGAATGCTTGATGAATATAACACAGTAGATTTCCCCTGACTTGAACTGGTGATTTCAAGGAAATGTGCATTTCGAAACGAGTAAGTGATCGGAAGTGTTATAACAAATATATAAGGACAATTATTATCATATTATTATTGTTCCCTTGGGTTCCTAGTGGAACATAGGGCTTCAACTGCACATCTCCACTTGCTTCTGTCTTCTGCTCTCCTTTTTTACTTGCATCCATGTTAGTCCATACTGTTTCAACTCCTCTTCACACAATCTCCTCCATGTCACCCTTCCACTGACGTCCCACTCGCCGCCGCTTACCTTTCGAGGTCCACTCGAGCGTTGGTCTGACAAGCGATGTCACCCAGCGAGTGGCCTCCTCAACCAGTCAGTGAGTGTCCAATCCATCTCCACTTTCTCCTGCATATTTGTTGGGCGATTGATTACTTCTTGTTTCGTTTGTTTCTTCCCATAGTTTGTTTGTTTCTTGTTGGTTCTTGTTGTTTCCGGTGGCCATCTGATTGATCTTCAGTATAGAGCCAGCCAGCGAAGACAGTTAGTTAGTTGTTGATAAAGGTGTGCAACAGGCTGTTGGAAATACTCATTCTTTGTGACCCGCCGCTAACTTTCTGATCCATCCGTATAGAAGAACTGACAATACTCATACAAAAAGTATCATGAACTAATTATATGCTGCAACATTTAACCGACTAGTGAACAGCATTCAGTCAACCAGGTGAAATCTGACTGGTTGATCATCTGATTCAAGCACATAGGCAATCAATAGTTGTACAGACTGGAGGTGAATCACACATAACATTCAGACTTCTTTATACTTCTTTACTTAGGTAACACGTTAGATGGCATAAATTCCCTTTTAAATTTTGTTTTTAGATGTGACAATAGATTTCTGTTAAAAGCAACAAAACAAATTAATCGCAAAAGAGGCAATATATTTATATATATACATATATAGGTTGTTTTCAATGATTACTGCTTCAAAGGGAAACCATGGTAACAACAACAAAAACAACAAAGTTTATTTGATGGATGGATGGTGACTAGTAGTGGAATCTAGGGTGTGTGTATTTCATTTCATCGTCAGCTGAATGTACCAGCAATCCCCAAGTGAGTGATGGTGTCCTCACTAACACACATTCAAACTCAGCACCTATCATTCCAAATACCAAAGCACTCGCTATTCATCGAATAACATCGCGTTAGTAGTCCTGAGACAGAGGCATAAGAGCTGGAACAACAAAAAGACTCTAGAAAAAAATGTGGACTAAGCTGATGATTACTTTGTGTCTAACGAACGAAGATGTCAAATCGAGAAGAAGACAGGGATATCCTGAATCGACGTGAAGAATCTAGAAGACCTGGATTTCGCGCGTGGATGATTTATGTTTGATGTCACACAAAATCGAAGACTTACAAGCGAAAACCGACAAACTGGTCGAAGAAGCAGCCAGAGAAGACAGGACTGACTCCAGGTGAACATAGGCAAGACGGAGGTTATGAAAATAACCAAACAACAGCAACATCCAGGGCCAATCAACATCAACGGGAGGGATTTGAAAGAGGTTACTTCATTCACTTATCTAGGAAGCAGAGCATTGCCTCAGCTACAGGCAGGTGGAACGGATGAGGATGTGAAATCGAGAATCGGGAAGGCGAGAAACACATTCATCAACCTGAAACCAATCTGGAAATCTTCCACTGTCACTCAACTCAACCCAGCATCAACAACAAAATTCGGATTTTCAATACAAACGTCAGTCAAATCAGTCACTTCTTTTATATGGATGGATCAGAAAGTTAGCGGCGGGTCACAAAGAATGAGTATTTCCAACAGCCTGTTGCACACCTTTATCAACAACTAACTAACTGTCTTCGCTGGCTCTATACTCATGATCAGATGGCCGCCGGAAAGAACAAGAACCAACAAGAAACAAACTATGGGAAGAAACAAACGAAACAAGAAGCAATCGCCGAACAAACAATATGCAGGAGAAGTGGTGGAGATGGATTGGACACTCACTGGCTGGCTGAGGAGGCCACTCGCTGGGTGACATCGCTTGTCAGGCCATAGATCGAGTGGACCTCGAAAGGGAATCAGCGGCGAGTGGGACGTCAGTGCAAGGGTGACATGGAGGAGATCATGTGAAGAGGAGTTGAAACAGTATTGACTAAGATGGATGCAGGTGGAAAGTACAGCAGAAGAGAGAAGCAGGTGGAGACGTGTAGTTGAAGTGCTATGTTCCACTAGGAACAATAAAAATACGATACAGTGCTCCTATATATTTTTTATAGACTTGGCGCGCATGTCGCCAGAAGTCTTTCCAACACGCTTCAGACTTTTATCAACAGTCGCATTCGCTGGCTCCATACTGAAGGACAGATGGCCGGAAAGAGTAAGCAACGAGGAACTCTTTCAGGTAACAAACCAACCAAGAAACTATTCCCCGACAAATTCACCCATGGAAATAGAGACAGATTGGATATTACACGCCAGAGTTAGGACCTAGAGTGGAACTCGAATGGGAAACGACGAGTTGGGCGTCGATTCCGAGGGTGACATGGAGGAGATCATGTAAGGAGGAAATGAAAGCTTGTGTTTAATTATGAGGACAGCAAAAAACAGAAGTGAAATGAAGATGTCCTGGTGAAGCTGTATAGTCTACTCGGAACCCTAGGGAATACTAATGCAAAAAACCCTTCAGATATCGTCAAAAACGTCTGTTCTAGGAGCCAATATGTCTGTCCCATGTAATTAGTCAACGAAAAATACTAAAAATTAACAACAAGTATGTTTAATGATGTTGGTGGCACAGCGGTTAGGACGCTCGCCGACCATGCACATAGTCCGCGGTTCGATCTCCGGCCACCGACACACTCCTTAACCTCGCTAAACCAGTAATAAGGCTGGTAAGGTAAAGAGGAAAGGTTGGACATGAGGCTAGCAACGCCATCCTGTAAAAATAAACACCACTGCTACAGAAACTTGAAGACCTATGTTCCACTGGGAATGTGAAGGATTAAAAAAATAATGTTTAATGATACTTTTGACTACTAAAAAAATTCTCTAATGAATAATGTACAAAAGTAATGGCTGATTTGAAAAACAGAAACAACACATGTAAAAAAAATTCACAAACCTGTATCGTGGATTATTACATTGACTTGGTCTTGGTTTTCTAAGCTTACCACTAGCAGTAGCAGCTGCTGCTGTTGATGATGATGATGATGCTGTAACATTACCATTATTCTTCTTATGATTTATATACCAACGATATTGATTCTGAATTAACAATGCAGCTTGACATAGACGTTTATAATATGCATACTGATAGGATTAGGGAGAGAGAGATAAATAAGAGGAGATAAGGAAGGGGAAAAAAAGAGGATTAGCGTTGGTTACAAGGTATACTGCATATATGTATAGTATAAGAAAAGACCCATAATGATATATTTTAGTAATTTAAATATCCATAGAGTATAACCAGAAAAAGATGATTCTTTCAGTGAACAGCTGTTTTCAATAAGTCCTTCTTCTTCAGACTCTACTATTATAAAACCCATAAATATTACTCACTATCTGTAAACAAAAGGCCACGACTACAATTCAAGAGCGATATACCAAGTGAGACAATTACGAGGAAATTAAGAAAATCAGTTCAAAGAACTTTTAATGCTGGCGAACTACACGTATTATTCTCTACACCACTACCGATGGTGCTACCTCGACTGAAACATGAAGTACCTAGACTAGTTAGCTACTTCAAATTGTATCTACCAATTCAACTGCGCTTGTGGTGCAGCGAGTTATATTGGCCGTTGCTCTAGGAACTGGATTTTTCGTGCTCTCTCGAGAACATCTCCCACTATGGCTAAGTAAAGGTGTAGTGAAAACCATCATCAACAGTTCGATATTGGACTATCTGGTGCAAACCGGCCGGCCACAAAGCCAGCCAGCCAGCCAGCGTGGAAGAATCCTTCTCTATCATCTACCGAAGCACCGCATGCTCCAAACACCAGAGGCTATTGCAATTCGCCTCAAACAACCAGTGCTCTGTGTTCAAAAGAAATAAGTCCAGCCACTACTACTGCCCTGGCCGGCTTTCAGTAGAGACTAGAAATTCATCCATAAATTTCTAATATTATCTTTCCTAATTCTTCTGACATTCAGCTTATTTTATGTTGATGCTGTTGAACTGTAATCTACTCATATTATTATTGATTTGATGTTATTTAAACAGCAACATTAATGTTGTTCATAACACTAATTCATTCATTCATTCACTATTATTGATGGATATATAACTGTAGAACCTGATGATGAAGGGGTTATCGAAAAGAGGTACTCTTTGTTCAGTATTCTTCTTTGGAAAATATTAGAATAGTAATAGCCACTAGTAAAGGTAAATGAAAGTTATATCAGAAACTGTATTGGGGTACATGTCTGACTGGAGGACGATGAACAAGAGGGAGGGCCTCGTGGGCTTTTAGAATTGTGAGGGCGGTTGTTAATTCCCGGCCACCAACACACATGTCCACCAAGCCTGTGGTGTACATTGGCTACAGATCGAATGGCGTATGTGAACCTATTCTGGTCACCAGCAACTAAAGAAACGTAACTGCTTGGTTTGGTTGCGGAGATTTCGTCGTCCTTCTGGACAACATCCCCTTTCAGCGCAATATTTAGCATAAAGTGAAATGATTTAAATTTCTTCATGAGTGATAGAATTGCGTCCGTCTCCCGGTAACCATCTTTACATATGTATTGACCATTTTCTATTGACTTGGATTTAAAACTTTCTGGTCACCTGATTTACTTTTTATTACTTGGTATATTTCGTCTATATTAACGTGTTTGTTAATTGCATTTTCGTTTGAGTACCAACCAGGCTTCAAGGAATTCCCGGACTGCACTTTTGGTGTTTCCCTTGTCTAAGATTTTGACATTATCCCAATCAAATTGATGTCTATAATTGTCTATATGCATTGATACTAAAGAATTCATATCGTGTCTTTTCACAGCTGATTTGTGTTCATGGATTCTAATTTGAAGGGGACGCCCACTTTGGCCGATGTAATACCTGTTACAGTTCATACAATTTATTTTGTAAATGGCAATAATTTTATCTTCTTTTTCTGTTGGATATTTCGGTTTGCATAATATCGAATTAAGCGATTTGACTGGCTTGTGTGCTATATCTATATCACACGGTTTCAGTATTCTAGCTGTTATTTCAGAGATATTTCTCATGTATGATAGAATGAATTTTCTTATGGTCTTTGATGATGGTTTCTTGTTGGTGTTTTGATTCGACTTTAAACACTCTTTTTGATGAAATTTTGTGGATAACTATTCTTTTTGAAGACCGTTTGTAGGTACTTTTCTTCCATTCTTTTCAACTCTGGAGTGCTACAATATGTTTGAACTCTTTTAAACAATGTCTGCACACAGTTTCATTTGTGAGTAATTGGATTATTGCTAGTATAGTTGTATGAATAATAATAATAATAACAATAATTAAGATTTACTTGTAGTAACTTAGAATAAACAAAAGAACGCTAAATTACAGTTAGAATTACAATCTTGAGATCAAGTATGCTTCAACAATGCCTTAGTTTCCACCCTAATCCAAAAAAACCTAACTCAGTTCATAAATTTAACCTTAAACGTGACCGTAAATCTAAGTAATCTAATACACTATAATACTAGCCTTTAATAATAATAATAATAAATACTCGCTAAGAACGTCCGCACATCTACACTGATTATGATTGGTCATTAATAGGATAGAAGGATTTTGTAGTTCCGCCTAAATCAAATAGTATTTAAAATATTCCCTATTGTGATTGATTTCTTTGACACAGAAAAAAAGAAAAGAATAATGCAAGCAAACGCTTAATTTTGTAGCATGTTTTAGAAATATTTGTAAAATCTCAGCGAGATTGAAATGAGAAATTCCAACGTTTCGTTCGGAAATCTGGTCCGAACTTCTTCAGGGAAATTAATCAAAATTAACATAACAGTAGTTTATATATAAAAGGAACATCAATTGTTTTTAAAAACTTTGTCCAGTCGAATTAAATTAACAAAGAGACTGTGTAATTGGCACAATCATCGTGTTTTCACTCTCCGTTGTCTGTAACAGAATGCATATCCTCAATCCGTAGCTGTCGAGTCACCTGACAACTCCAGTACGTCGAATAAAGCAGCTCAATCTTCAGAAAGAAGACAAAGCAATAAGTCTGACAGGGTGCTTCTACTAAACTCTAATCCTAAACACCATAATTTTGAATATACGTCTAATCATAAAATTCTAGATACTAACAGTTTGAACAGACATGAAGGCGTGATGTTAGCTGATGCATAGGAAATCCTTATTAATAAATAAAAAATGGATATGTATCGCTAATTATTAAAACTTGGTCAAAATTCTCGACTGTCCATATCTTCTTATGGAAACGTTAAGAAATGTTTTACAACTGTTTACCCACACACACATACACACTCTGTTTAAAGTGTTTAACAAAAGTAGACAAATATTTGTAAGTCCGAGGTCAAATTTTGATCACAGCTCATAAAATTTTGTTTATTATACTTGTTGAATGACTCATGATTGGATAAAGTTTTTGAAAACAATTGATGTTCCTTTTATATATAAACCTCTGTTACGTTAATTTCGATTAATTTCCCTGAAGAAGTTCGGACCAGATTGCCGAACACAGGACACGTTGGAATTACTCATTTCAACCTCGCTGAGATTTTACAAATATAATTTTTTACAAATGTCTACTTCTCACTTGGCGCCCAAATATTTTAGAACTATTCTGTCAAATCTTGACGACAGTTCATTTGAAGTTTTAAAAATAATTAGAATAATTTATACCTGTATAATTCGTAAACAGTAAAATTTTAGTTCAAGCTATCAACAATACTGAACAATAAATAATAAAACAACAATAGGGAGGAGAGAATGAATGAGGGACGTCATCCAGAAAGAAAGCAAGCATTACTTGTCAAGATCATTCAACGTTTTATCACATCATGTTACTTTGAAAAAATGGAAGACAAGAAAAAAAAGAGAGAAGGAAATTGTACCTTAGCCCTAATCAGGGCTAATTGATGTTAACGTAACACACAAATATCCTTCATCCCACGGCAGCACCACAGCATACATAGGCTGACCACCACCTACCTCTCTCTTCTTTTTTCACATCCAGACCTCAGAGCTATCGGACAGAGACCGGTTCGTAAAAACCCCCCTAGGATGACATGCTTAAAACATGTTCAAGCCACCAAAGCCCTTGTTTCTAGATGACGACACAGCACCCACCCAATGAATGGTGCCCACTGTGTGTCGACACATGTGCGCTACGGGGCCTTAGAATTACTTGTACGATTACATCATCAAATGCAAGCTATTCTACAGAGATCGAACAGTGATCGAATACGCAGAGTCACCGTACATCCTCAGCTCAGCTCAGAGAGAGAGAGGCTAAGTTTCACAGAGGGTAGAGCAACACTGAGCACACCGAAGTGTTACAAACTCAACCTTTGATAGTCAGGTTGACGTCACGATGGCGCCAAACAACTGCTTAGATAGCGTCAATCAGTGATCAAATTGACGTAAACAGCAGACCGTTGTTTCACCTGTAATTTAACACATTCACCAAAAATTATTAACCAGTTGAATCAATAAAAATAAAGTTAGAATAACAATTTTAAAAAAAAATACCTGTTTATAACGTCTATAATAACTTTGAATAATGATTGCAGCTTCAATTTCTTTACTGCATGTCCCTCCAGTACTGGATGAAGGTGGTGGCAGCGGTGGCGGTGGCGGGGGCGGCTGTGGTTGGGATGAAGTAGATGAATTCATTGTAGAAATTGGAATAGACTTTGTAAAGTTATTACTTGTTGCCTGTAGACAACAGTTGAAATCAGATCCGTCTATCAGTGATGATGATGATGAAGGTTGCTGTGGTTTGTTATTATTATTACCAATTGATGTATTGTCGTAGGAGGTTTCTATTTCAACTTCTAAACCAACAGAGGTATCATTTTCAAAACTTAACAGAGCATCATCATCATCAGCAACACTCCATTCGTGTTTCATTGAAGAATCAACAGCAACAGCAGTAGTAGCAGTGGGAGTAGGAGAGACAACAACACCACCAGTATTCGTAGCAATTTGTTCCACAACCTGATTACAACATTGGATATCACATACACTTGTAGAATAAGGATCATTAGCAGGGCAATTCGACATTGATTGATTGTTACTACTATTATTACAATTGTTACTGTTATTGTTGCTGTTATTACCATGCACCATAGATTGATTATGCTTTTTATAAGCTCTATAATATTTTTGTATAATTTTAGCTGCTTCATATAAACGTTTCTGTTCTTGATCCGACAGTGTCAGTCGGCTTAAATCATTCTCCATAAATTGATCTGGTACAGCATTAAAGTGTTCAGCTATTTGAGCTGTCGACGGGGGTGGACTACTACTATTCATCAGGCTGAATGCACTCAATGATCTGCCTTGACAATTATACCAATAATCATAATCACTTTCATAGGAGGAAATACCCCCATCACCACCACCACAACCACAACCAGTCAACAATTCAGAACTGATAAAACTATTCGAGCTTAATGGTGTTGTGTTGAATATTGAATTCGATGTGATGATTTCACTGCAAAGAAAGAAACAAAGAAGGAGAAAGGGAAGTGAGAAGTATGTAACAACAACACTGAGGTATATTTTGTACAGGGGTATATTTATAATAATAATAATAATAATTTGCTTTATTCCAAAACAGTACTTGTGATACAGAATGGAATTCTCAGCATTTTTACTACAGTATTGCATCCAGTTTGTACATTCTCTCCGACAGATCCTAGAACATAGACACACTTTTAGGCGTCCAACAATTGCCATATTTCTTGACTTGAAGGCGGCCTTCGACTTCGTGGATCGAGAGGTACTATGGCAATGTTTGACTGTGAAGGGAGTGCCAAGAAAGTACATTGCACTAATCAAGGCACTCTACTCAAACTCACGTAGCCATGTAAGGGCTTATGGGGAATTGTCATCTGAATTGATAACAACCAGTGGTGTCCGTCAAGGATGTCCACTTCCCCTTTTCTGTTTAACTGCATCATACATATGCTAATGGAAGTATCCTTAACTGAACTTAACGACTTAGGAATCGACTTGCTACCAGGGAATAGTCTTATAGACTTAGAATACGCAGACGACATAGTCCTGTTAGGAGAGGACGCTGACAAAATGCAGAGTCTTCTGAACACCTTGAGCAACAATCTTCGTATGTTTGGTATGCGATTCGCCCCTGTCAAGTGTAAGATGCTGCTACAGGAATGACTGGACTACGTCAACTCCTAGCTTAGTGATAGGGAGTGAAGTGATAGAACATGTCGACCACTTCACCTATTTGAGAAGTTGTATCAGCACCAACGGACTGATTGGTGACGAAATCTCAGCACGGATCCAAAAAGCTCGGAGTGCTTTCGCCAACATACGCCATCTGTGGCGTAGGCGTGACATCCGACTATCAACCAAGGGACGTGTGTACTGCTCATCAGTTCGCTCCGTCCTTCTCTATGGCTGTGAAACATGGCCAATATGGGTTGAAGACATGAAAAGGTTGACTGTTTTTGATCATAGATGTCTAAGATCTCTTTCTCACGTTAGGTGGTATAATAAGGTAAGTAAGTAATGTTGACGTTAGGCGTAGAGTGTTGGGCAAAGAGGGAAAATCAATCAATCGAAGAGAAGAGGCTATAAAGTTACATAGATTGAGATGGCTAGGTGACGTGGTGCGAATGCCTAACCATCGCCTCCCCCACCCCGATGGGCATTACTAGCTAGCCGATATAGTTGCAGGTTGGAAAAGAGTAAGTGGTGGCCGAACAAAAACATGGCATCAATCCATGAAATCCTTCCTTGACAGTTAAACTGAGTCAAGTCAGGTAGGGAGATGAAGACTTCCGGGTTGGTTGGGGCCCGCCCTCGGGACTCTAAGAATCAATCTATGGCTGGAGACAGAGAGACAATAGGTGGCATGGCTGAAAATCGTTGTCAATGGCTCACGCAGATGTATTCAGTCTCTGTAATCTTCAGTCTCATATTCCTTTCTACCATTCATTACTCATTCTGTTTCACTCTTATACTTGTCAAAACTCTATCGATTCTCTTCACTCATCTTCTTGTCTACCTTTGTGTGGTATTTGTAACGTTGCAACTCGAACTGCTGCACTTCGGTGCCAAGTTATATGTTGAATCCAGCCAGCCAGCCAATTTGCTTTGTTCCAAATCAGTACTTGTGATACAGAATGGACTTCTCAGCGTTTTTTTACTACAGTATTGCATCCAGTCAGTACATTATCAATAAATAATAATTCTACATGGATTAAGGAAATCTCAGTTCATCATGACAACAACATATTGGCATGTCGGTAGCAAAGCCAATGTTGAACAGTGTTTGAAGGTGTTAGAAAAGTAGGTGCTATCATATTTACTGGCGGAAGCGGAAGAAAGAAACGAAGTAGCACATAACAAAGAGAAAGAAAAAAATTGTACGTGTCACGCTTAATGCTTTCTTTATCGCACAGAACACGAGCTAAATAGGATATGGTTCAGTTTTTGTACTTGCTGGTGCGAGCATATAGTTTTCTATGTAGGCTTCTGGTTTTACCTGATGAGGTGCAAGGGGAGAGTTGTGAATGGAGAGGGTGGTGTGAGTTAGATAAAATGGATTTGGCCCATTTTTCACATGAGTCCATGTGCCTGTCAACCAGAATATTAACAAGCTGGTTAAGTGGCACGTTGCTTACCCTGCTGACAACCTTTAACATCCTGAGTAATAAGGTATAGTCTTTCTTCAGTAGCCCGGGAAAAACTAAGGGGGAACAATGGAGAATAATAGGCAGAATGCGAGAGTTAACGAATTGTAGGAGTAAGGGTTGGGTTGGGTTACACCAGACATTCGTCTTAACTTCTTGATGTAGAAGGTAAGACGAAATATTTTCTTAGAAATCGCCAAGATATGAGACGACCAGGAAAGATCAGCAGATAGATAGAATGACGCCTAGGTATTTAATTTCCGACTTGGTTTCTATTTCAGTGCCATCTTTGTTGCAAACCTCGTGAGAGCCAACCAGTTTGTTTAGGTCGGATTTATGTTTAAAGGTGAAATTGACTGTTTGGCATTTGGAGGGGTTTAAGGTGAGACCGTTTTCCTTGGACCACTGGCTGATTTCTGAGAGAAAGCCATTTAGTTTAGAGCAGTCACTTTGACATTTGACAGGCAGAGATACTATCAGGTCGTCAGCATATTCGACAAAATTAATGTCATTTGAAGATGGTGAATTCGTCAGCAAAATTTGAAAGATTAGATAGTGACTTGGTTTCTATTTCAGTGCCACCTATGTTGCACACCTCGTGAGAGCCAACCAGTTTGTTTAGGTCGGATTTAGTCACAGAGGCTGACTGGTCAACGAGCTTCGTGTAGTAGTAACCTGAACGTCCCTAGTGTGGGGTGGTGGGTACACACGTCTGAAGAGTTCCTAACTAGGGCGAAACACCTATCCGGTGCTTTCCGGTTTTCAATGATCTCTAACTGATGTTGGTTAATGACGAAAGCTACATTGAAATCTTCATGATAGTTTTATTCTTTGACATTTGGTGTTTCCGTTCTGTATTTCATCTCAGACAGTTATTATTATTATAATTTAAACACAAAAAACTTGGTACAGTTTGGCACCAAGAAGATGAGTCACACAATAATAACAATAAAACAACATAGATTAAAAGTAAAAATATAGGTGGAGAACGGATAAAGAATTCCATCTGGAAGGAAAACAGTCATACTGAACATATTCAAACAGTATTCGTCAACTATCATCGGGAAGGGAAGAAAGAAGGAAATTGCAGCACGTTCGCCATTGATTACGATTCTTGGCCATATCGGATATAACGTTTCAAGTCGTCGATTCGAGCTATCTCTCGGACTGCAACCAGGGAGTCGTGACACACCAACCGATGCTAACCTTACACAAATATCCTTCATCCCACCATGCCACGTCTCCGTTTTTTCCATCCCGACTCAGGGTTACCGAATAGGCACCGGTACAGAAGCCTCTGAGATGACATTCGTATCACATGTCCAAGCCACCGAAGCCGGTGTTTTCAGATGATGACACTCAATGAATGGTAACCTCCACGCCGCCGAACCTCAGAATTACTCACGCGATGATGCTATCGAACACAGGCAATCCTGCGGAGACAGTGATGATCGAATACGCAGAACCGCCGCACATTCTCAGCTCTGTGAAGTCAGGTTTCACAGGCGTGGAGCGAGACAGCCCGCACCGAAGCATTGTATACGCGACCTTTGACAACCAGGCTAACGTCGCGACGGCGCCAGAGGTGGCTCAAGTTAACATATGCCATCCTAGCCTTATCAAGCGGTTCACCTGCAAGAGTGAGTGCAGATACAGGCTCCTGCTAATCTTGTAACAGTACTTTGCACTTAGACAGCGTAAAGCACATACCATACTTACAGACACTGATCGCCAACTGATTAAGTGCGATTTGAGCTGTATGATAAGACGAGTCATTTTGAGATTAGGCGTAAAGTTGTTAGGTTAACACATAGTATAGAAATTCTCAGCAAACTTAGTTGCACAACATTTCCTCTTCGTATAGAATCTACAAGTAAAATAATAATCTTTAGTATATCATGTGACACAGTTTTGTTTTATCTGAAGAAAAGACAGATTCTCTACGATATTATTGCTTTCTTTCCGCCAAAAAAAAACAACAAATGTACAGCATTCTCGTTGAAAGCTAATTAAAAATATGCGCTAGTTCATGTCATTAACAAGGGATATAATTACATGATTAAAACAACAAGAAATGCAAGAGAGACAAGGTATCACATGATGGATGGAAATTTTAGTAGCTCAGAGAATTAAGCAGCCTGGCTTAATGGAAGCTACTGCATCGTTATCATTATCAGTTTCCAGCCATTGATTCCTGGAATCCTGAGGACTCCAGCTATGCGGTCTACAACTCCATACATGGCTGGCTCAAACCAACAGTGACTTCATGGATTGATGCCAACTTTTGGTTTGACCACACCTAACTCCTTTTTAACCTAATTCTATGTCAGCTGACACTGCTCGACGAGGCAGGCGATGGCCTGGTATACTCAACTTGTGCTCCGACCCAATTCAATCGATCCATGTGAATTCCATAGCCGAATGTACTTTATTGAATTCTGATAGGAGTACAATAATTACTGATTGATTTTTCGTACTCGAGAACATATCCCACTATGGCTAAGTAAAGGTGTAGTGAAAACCATCATCAACAGTTCGATATTGGACCATCTGGTGCAAACCGGCCGGTCACAAAGTCAGCCAGCCAGCCAGCGTGGAAGAATCCTTCTCTGTCATCATTTACCGGGTGCCTAATAAACTGCGAAAATCATCGAAGCACCGCATGCTCCAAACACCAGAGGCTATTGCAATTTGCCTCAAACAACCAGTGCTCTGTGTTCAAAAGAAGCACGTCCAGCCAGCCCCTACTACTGCCCTACCTGGCCAGCCTTCAGTAGACACTAGAAATTCATGAATAAATTTGTAATATTATCTTTCCTAATATTTTTTCTGACATTCAGCTTATTTTATGTTGATGCTGTTGAACTGTAATCTACTCATATTATTATTATTGATTCGATGTTGTTTAAACAGCAACACTAATATTGTCCATAACACTAATTCATTCCTTCATTCATTCACTATTATTGATGGATATATAACTGTAGAGCCTGATGTTGATGAAGGGGTTATCGAAAAGGGGTACTTTTTGTTCAGTATCGCTTCTTTTGAAATGTATACATTTATTTAAAATGGAGGATAAGATTTAGAAATAAAACAACTTACGGTTCATGTGAAGTTGACTCGAAACTGATTACATCATCCGTGTCAAAATTATCATTATCATTATTATTATTATTACTATTGTTATATAAAGGTTTATATTTACTCTTGAATTGTTGAACAGCAGATAGATGAAATCTTCGACGATTCAACGGTTCATGAAAACTTAATAAAGCACTTTTTAATCGATGATTAGCTTTATTAGTAGTAGTACCAGTAGTAGCAGTATTATTATGACTATATCGATATCTAAAATGATCATATGGTGTTGTTAAACACTTATTACTATTATTATCATCAGGATATGGTCGTTTCGATGGCAAAGAGTTAAATGATGAACCGATTGACTTGTTCTTAGGATGATAATGATAATGATGATGACTTATCGATTTACTTGGTATATTTGATAAAATTTTCACTGGATACTGCCTAGTTGTTGCTGCTGTTGTTGTTGTGTTAGTCAATTTACCAACATTAGTAGTATAATTGTCAGTAGTAGTAGCAGCAGCTGACGATGACGATGAAGGTTCATAACGAAATATTGATGAATGGGATATATGCTGGTCAACTGGAGCACGACTTAACACGATACTTTCACCTAAAGCTGAATCAGAAAATTGTATAGATGAGGAACAGAAGTCTTCTTCGTCAACAACGACATCACCAGCATCACCCACAGCACCATCATCATGATCATCGTCATCATCGTTATCATTGTTATTATCACTACCACAAGTTGATAAATTATCACAATCTTGATTGTGTAAATTAACAATTCGCCTTGGCATAGCCTAAATATAATAGAAAAAAAGAATGGGAGAAGTTTATCAATGGTGGTTGGCTATGCATTGGGAAAACATCTTATATAAATAAATAAATAAAGTGGAAAACCTCGTCTTAGCCTGGAAAAGAATGACGGTTGGACTTGGGGTTAACAAATCCTCTAAAGGACCTGCGGACGAAAGCCTTAGAGAACCACCAGTCGACCAACTAATCTTCTTTCAATGATAGCAAAAGTGAAATGTGAAGACGTGGGGGGAGTATCTGCACCGTGTTTGAGGCTGACAAGACTGCCCAGACTGCAGAAGGAATGAAAATATATATATATATATAATACAGAAGTGTAGGGAATGTTTTTGAGGGCAGATGGAATGGAAGTAGACTTACAGAACTGTTAACTACATCCCCCCCCCCCAACAACAACAAGCTTTATACTTCTTTAGTGGATGAAGACTAGCGCAATGGGATCCAGGATGCATGTTCCTTTCTACTGGGACTCAACCCCAGTCAAAGCGTATTTTCCACTAGACACACAACACCCTCGCACTGACGACCAACTCGCCGCTTCCAATACAGTCGGGTTTCACTCGAGCAATGGCTTGTCTAGTGATGTCACTCACTTGATGGTTTGTTTCCTCAGAGTATGACCAATCCACCTACATTTCTTCCTGCATATTTCTTGCACAATTGGCTGTGTTCGTTCGCTCATTGCCAGATATCCTTGTTGCTGATCTTTTCTGGCCACCTGATCTTGAGTATTAGTGAGCGAAGACAGATGTTGATGAAGGTCTGGAGTTTGTTCGGGATGCTCTTAATGACGCGTCACCAAATTTCTCGTCGGTATAGTAGCACTGACTTCACATTGGAGTTGAGTGCTGAGTGCTGTTGATCTCCACACAGACTTGAGAGTAATGAGAGATTGCCTTGCTTTCCCGATAGTCACCTTGATATCTTGGTCAGTTCCGCGTGTGGTTGAAACGATGCTTCCCAGGTAGGTTGGTGAAGGAGGTTGTTTCTTTCAGGTTCCTTCCATTTATGCTGATCATTGTCTGTTGTTGTTGCTGTTGGTGTTAGCCAGGAATCTTCATCACCTCTGTTTTCTCTATGTTCAACTGAAGTCCTTCCTATCTTCTCTGGATGCTTCTCCTGCCAACTTATTGCCTTTCACTTGCATATCTTCCAGTTTGTGGGAAATCAGACATATATCATCGGCGAAGTCCAGATCCTCCAGGATTTTTGTGTGGGTCCATTTTATGTCTGTCTCCTCGTTGAACGGCCCGCTGTCTGTTGCATTATCCAGTCTACCGCAATCACGAAAGTCATTGGAGATAGTAGCTAGCCAGCTTGTCTTACTCCCGTCTTTACTTCGAAGGATTCTGTAAGTTTCCCGTTGTGGATTACTTGGCACGCAGCATTGTCGAACAACTGTTGGATGAGATGTATAATTGATGGCGGCACCCCTTGGTAGTAGCGAAGTAGGTGCCAAATCACCTCTCGATCGACGCTGTCGAAGGCCTTTTCAAAGTCAATTAAGTTGAAATAGAGAGCTGACATCAGGATAAGTTGTAAGCATTTAACCAAATAAACGACAGTCTGGAAAGAAATAAACAACTTCCCACCTACATCTTGAGACAGACACATTTTCTAAATGATTTCAATAGCTATAAACCCTCCAACGATGTACAAATAACTGTGAACGTGTATTTATGAACGTGAGAATAATAATTTACGGAAGACTAGAATTAACTTTTAATGTAGCAAGCATCTAACAACAAAATTTGCATTAACACCGACAAATCTCAAAAAGGCTTCACTAAAGTAAAGGTAAGAAAATAAGGCTTTGTTGGTGTTGTGAGTCACTAATTAATTCAGGCGCACAACTTTTAACCACCCAGTGGTCGCGGTCACAGGCTTCGCTCAACTTCGCTCAACTTACGAAGATTTGAGCAGCCAAGTCGTATTTCTGGCATTCACACAATAGGTTTGAGCTCATAACCATAGAGGCTTTGCTGATTAAAAGATCAACAACTGTTGAATGTACGACAATGTGTTTTTCGCTTGTCAACTATACATACCTTCACAAATATCTATCTACTGCGGAATACGTGTTGTGTTTTTTTAAAAAATCTCAGTTAGCCGGAATAGAGCAACACTTATCAAGGTGACGGCTAGTGTTACACACCTAGTTGCTCAGGCTTAAGTAGGTGGGGAATGGGACTTGAACCCGTAACCCGTTCGGCTGAAAATCGAATGCTTACGCCGATGAACCAAATTCTCCACTTTTAGCTAAGAAGTTTAAACTATTATTATTATTGTTCCCTTGGGTTCCTAGTGGAACATAGGGCTTCAACTACACGCCTCCACTTGCTTCTGTCTTCTGCTGTACTTTTTATCTGCGTCCATGTTAGTTCATACTGTTTCAACTCCTCTTCACACGATCTCCTCCATGTCACCATTGGACGTCACACTCGCCTATTCCCTTTCAGGTTCCACTCGAGGGCCTGACGCGCGATGTCACCCAGTGGCCTCCTCAGCGAGTGTCCAATCCATCTTCACTTTCTCCTGCATATTTGTTGACCGGCGGGTTCTTGTTTTGTTCGTTCCCATAGTTTCTTGTTGGTTCTTGTTCTTTCCGGCGGCCATCTGATTGATCTTCAGTATAGAGCCAGCGAAGACAGTTAGTTAGTTGTTGATAAAGGTGTGCAACAGGCTGTTGGAAATGCTCATTCTTTGTGACCCGCCGCTAAGTTTCTGATCCATCCGTATAGAAGAGCTGACTGACTTGACTGACTTGACGTTTGTATTGAAAATCCGAATTTTGTTGTTGATGCTGGCTGGGTTGAGTGACAGCGGAAGATTTCGAGATTGGTTTCAGGTTGATGAATGTGTTTCTCGCCTTCCCGATTCTCGATTTGACATCCTCGTCCGTTCCTCCTCCTCCTGTAGTTGAGACAATGAATGCTCCCTCCCTAGATAAGTGAATCAAGTAACGTCTTTCAAATCCTCCCTCCCGTGAATCAATCAATTATCATTATTTGGCAAAAAGAGAAAAAAAAACAACGAAATAAATAAGCAACTCACTTCAATTATCCTGTCAGCTAGACAAAACATTTGTGAATGATCATCTTTCATCAGATTGGTTACACTAGCATACAATGGGGCGGAGTCAAATCGACGATGATAATGATAATGATGGCGGTGATGATGATGTTGAGGAGGAGCATGATGGTAATGATGGTGTTGTTGTTGTTGGGAATGTTTACGCCAGGCATAAATATTCCCACGATACAATTGTTCATCAATCATATTTCCACTGAAAACGCTTTCTTGACAAGTTTCATTGTGTACAGTATTATATAGATTATTATTATTATTACTATTATTATCATCGTCAGTAGGTTCAATATTCTCTAGATTCTCTGGCGGCAGTTGATTAGCTGTCGTCGTCGTCGTCGTCAATTTCGACGAAGTATCCGTTAGATTAGGATAATATTCATCTAACAAGGTATCATATTCTTTTGGTTGACAATCTATACTAGACATGCGATTTACTGCGGAAGACTGATGATAGGATGATGACTCTGGCAAATTTACACCGACAGTACCATCGACTGTGGAGAAATGTGAGTTATTTCCACCAGAAATTCCAGTTGCTTCATTATCCAGTAATGGAATAGCATTAGACATTAGATCAATTTCACTTAGATCAATAGGATCATCAAAATGCTGCAGGCCAGAAGATAACCATAATAATGACGAGGATGTTGATGATGATGTTGGTGGTGGTGGTGCTGGGGGTGGTGCTGGTGCTGGTGATGATGATGGCGACGCTAATGTTTCTGCATAATTAAGAAGTCTTTCTAATTTGATCACAGGCGTGTCTGTTTTATAATTTTGTGAATTGGAAAAATACTGATATTCTAATTGTTCAATACAATTTTGCATTAATTCACTATGTATAGCTAATGCCAACTGAAAAGAAACAACAACAAAATTTAGAAAATAAATCATGGAAATTATCATTATATATATATATATATATATATATATATATATATGTATACGGTTGTGTTCTCTGAGCTGGATAGTTAATTTGCGAAGCTTTCATCACCCTACTAGGTGACATCTTCAGCGCATACTTCAATTTGTTGAAGTGAGCTTTTAGATTTCTCCACGAGTTTATTAATCATCTCTCCCAGCGGGTGACGTTGGACGTGATTGGTTGTTTTTGTGCGTTTTCACACCTTCTAGGTTACTTGTATTGTCCACTCATTGTTTCTTTGACTTGAACTTTGACCCTTTGTGTGTGTGAGGTTTCTTTCTTATCGGTTGATAAATTTTGTGTATCTCGATGTGTCTATTGATTGATGATTCATTGGAATGCCAAGCTTATAAAAATTCTCTAGCATTCTTGTTGTTTCCTCTATCTAATATTTGAACGTTGTCCCAGTCGAATTGATGTCCGTGGTTGTCTGTATGTAGTGATATGAGGGAATGGATATCATGTCTTTTTACAACCGCATCCAAAGGACCTTAAACAAGCTTACAAAAACGCAACGAATCACAAAACAAGACCAATGGCGAATGAAATCCAGTGGACCAGTCCTAACATGATTCTACTGCAGACCCAAAATACACAAGCCAAATATCCCGTTACGACCAATTGTATCACTACCAGGAACTCCAACATACAATTTATCCAAAGAATTATACAGAAAACTAAAACACCTAACGGAATCTTGTGATCACTCCATCAACTCCGCTATCCAATTCCTAGAGAAAATCAGAGGTATCCAAATAGATGAACAAGAGATAATGATATCCTTCGACGTCACAGCATTGTATATTTCAATCGGACAAAAACTAGCAAAAGAAACCATGAAGCAATTACTTAGCAACGACGAACACCTTCCACAAAAATCAAAAATGCAACACACAAGTTGGATGGAATGCATAAACCTATGTCTAACAACGTACTTCCAATTCAACGGCCAAATATATGAACAAGTCAAAGGAACACCTATGGGATCGCCAATATCAGGTTTGATTGCAGAAGCAGTGATGCAAAGGCTCGAGAACATAATTCTACCAAAGATCAAACCCAAGATTTGGATATGTTATGAGTCTTGCAGTGATTTCTGAGATGTGCTTTATATATGGCAGGGTCAAAGTTCACGTCAAAGAAACAATGAGTGACAATACAAGTAGCCTAGAAGGTGTGAAAACACACAAAAACAACCAATCACGTCCAACGTCACCCGCTGGGAGAGATGATTAATAAACTCGTGGAGAAATCTAAAAGCTCACTTCAACAAATTGAAGTATGCGCTGAAGATGTCACCTAGTAGGGTGATGAAAGCTTCGCAAATTAACTATCCAGCTCAGAGAACACAACCGCATCAAAATCATCCACCTGAGCTACAAATCTTCTCTATCATATATATATATATACATATATACGTTGAACTAAAGGAAGAAAAGTATACACTGTAACGGTAAGCGTACAAATTCTAACAAGCTTGTCCATTCTTTTGTGTTCTGAGTGAAATATATAGGGCTCCAGCTTTTGATGTCCTGGTAGAGGTGATGTTGACTGACTTCTGGAGGGTGGGGCGTTGTGAATCTCACACTTAACCTTTCGTCTCTTTTTCGACTCACTACCACTACTACTAGTAGACTAGGCGAGATGAAGGAGTGCGTTGGCGGGGAATTGAACGTCGGACCACTTAAGTGATAGTGAGCGAACAATTTACCCTTGAAACACCGATGCAGAAGTCCTGTAGATTCCATTGAACAAAATAATTTAGTTTACCTAGTGCCATGGAATGGTCGTGGTATTAAAGTAGTATTTTGACTGACTGACTGACTGACTGGTTTCAACATAAAACTTTGCACCGATGTCCAGCAGTTCAAGTCACCACACCATGTAGCACACAAAGCAAGAGAAGAAAGTAGGAGAAATGCATATTAGAGACAGTAAACAGAGGTGTGAGACAAAGGAATAGTAATAACGAAGAACAAAACAGTTTCATTGGATATCATGAGTCACAAGGAGTGGATGCATCTCCGCCAGCCATTGACAACGATTTTGAGCTAGCCATGTCACCAACCTTCATTGGTTTTTACCATCCCGAGGATCCCAACCAGGAAGTCTACACCTTCCTACGTGGCTGGCTTAGACTGACTGTTGTAGATTTCATTGACTGGTGACATGTTTTCGTTTGACCGCCACTGGCTAGCTGTTTTCCAGCCTGGCCCTATATCAGCTGACATTGTCCATTGTCGAGGAAGGCGATGGCCAGACTAGGCATACGTAACACATGTCGTAACCATCTCAGTCGATGTAATTTCACAGTCTCGTCGACTGATTTCCCCGCCTTACCTAGCACTCGACGCCTAACCCCAATATTGCTCACCTTATTATACCACTTCACATGGGAGATAGAACACAGACACCTATGATCAAAGACAGCTAATCTTTTCATGTCTTCCACTCTAAATGGCCAGGTCTTGCTCACAGCCATAAAGGAGGTCGGAGCGGACTGGTGAGCAGTACACACGCCCTTTGGTCGATAGCCGGATATCACGTCTACGCCAGAGACGGCGTAAACTGGTATATCCGAAACTAGCCCTCTTTATCCGTGCTGAGATTTCGTCGGAGATCAACCCTTTGGGTCTGATGGTACTTCCCAAGTAAGTGAAGCGGTCAACGTGCCTCATAAAGGTTACAGACACACTTTACACTTTATAAGTGAGTGCTAATGATTACGAATTCTCTGTTTACATGCGAAATGAAAGAAGTGGGGAGAACTAAACATAAGAGCCTGTCTATCTATAGCTATGCTTATTTAATAATAAAACTCTAACAAGAAATAATTTCGAAACTACTTCAAAATTATGGCATGCAGTACCCCAAGACTGTATCAACTTCATTCAACAGCTGGCCATATGGCAATGCCACGTGTCAGGTAATCCACAACGGAAAATTCACCGAGGCGTCCGAAGTGAATACAGGAGTAAGACAAGGCTGGCTGTCTATTATCACCAAGGATGATATTCTTAATTGTGGTGGACTGGAATATGCGTCAGACTGTGGGTAGAGAGGAGACAAGAATACGTTGGAGCACTGATAAGAAGGCTCCATCTAGAAGATTTGGATTTCGCACGTGGATAATTAGTGTTAAATATCATACAGACTTGAAGACTGACAGGCGAAAACAAAAAACAACTGGCTGAAGACGCCTGCTGGTAGCGAAGACAGAACTCCAGGTGAACATGAAGGTGATGAAGATAAACCAACGAACAGCAACGACCAGCACCAATCACCATCAACGAGAGAGAGATTTAACAGAGGTTACCTCGCTCACTTCTTTAGGAAACATCATTTCACCTACAAGCGGAACGACTAAAGATGCCAAAGCCAAACAGAATCGGAAAGCCAAGATGCGCCTTCATTAGTCAGTGGTCCTCTTCAAACGGTCTTAAACTGAATCCGTTTAAATGTCAGGTAGTAAATTTCACTTTCAGACGAAAGCGTGACCTACAACAACTAGCTAGCTCACATGGTCCCACTATCATTGACGGCATAGAGGTTGAAACTACATCTAATGTCAAGTACCTTGGACTGAGTATTTCCTCCGATCTTACCTGGTCCTCTCACATCTTGCTAGTTACCAGAAAGATGTTTCGCTTAACGTTCTACGTTAGGAAGTTAAGGCAGTCTGGTATAAAGCAGTCTTTGGTTTCTCAGTTTGTCAATTCTTGTATTCCAACCATCCCTCTTTACTGCTCCCCATTAATCTTCCCTGGACTACTTAAGAAAGACTTTGCTTCGCTACGTAGGGCACTAAAAGCTGATAGTAGGGGAAGTGGAATTTCGTTAAACCAACTGGTTAACACTATTGTGGATAGACATATAATGTCATGTAAGAAACTAGTGAATACTATATTGTCAGACCCCGAGCATCCTCTCTATGCGCAGCTCTCTCCTTGCACTTCATCTGGTAGAACTAGAAGCAACTATAGGAGGCTATATGCCAGACTACCAAGTATAAAAACTCCACAATACCTTATCTGGCACAGCTGTTATGTGATGAGAAAACTGTTAGGCATGACACGATCACCTTGCTGCGGCACTCTAACAAATAGTTCCCATTAGCTTTTGTTCTCCTTCCTTTGTTACTATTATATTGTTGCTCACATATTCTATTACACACTAATTTTACATTTCATATCCTGTGGTGCATTGTTTAAATATGTGAATGCAATGCTGTTCTTTTTTTATTTCCTTTATTTATCTTTTTTTCTTCTTGTTGTTGTTGCTTTTTATTTTTAAATCCTTATAAAATTTATGAGGTAATTAGATGCAATATTGTAATGCACGCTGAAAATTCCATACCTGTACCACAAATACTGTTTGGAATAAAGCTGTTATTATTATTATTATTATTATTAACCTGAAACCAATTTGGAAATCTTCGGCACTTAGCCAGCATAAAGAACAAGATTCAGATTTTCAACACAATTGTGAAGTTAATCCTCCTATATGGGTCAGAAACCTGGTGTGTAACGAAAAGGATTTCTCCAACAACCCGTTAAAGACTTTTATCAATAGCTGCCTGCCTTCGCTGGCTCCATACTGAAGATGGAATGGACAGCCAGAAAGAATTAGCAACAAGGAACTCAGGCTGGAAACAAACCAACCAAGAGCCTATTACTCAGGAAATATGTAGGAGAAAATGGAGATAGGTCAGGCATACGTTGAGGAGGCCGTCGAATGACATCGCACGCAATGCAGGCCATCGCTCAAGTGAAATCTCAATAGGAAGTAACGAGTGGGTTGTCAGTGCGAGGGTGACGTGAAGGAGATGAGAGATTATGGGCAATCGTGGACTCAGATGAAGAGGACGGCAGAAAAAGAACAAAGTGTTGTTGAAGCTGTATATTCCACTCGGAACCCAAGGAAATAATAATAATAATTATTATTATTATTGTTATAATTTAATGAAAGCCAAATTTATACTTACATCTTTCGGTGTGAATTCACCATCCAGTTTTGAAGAAGACATAAATGATGAATTGTATAAACACGGTCTGTGAAGAGCTTCTGGATCCCATACAACTAAGAATCGTGTAGTCACTATTTGTTCATATAGGATAGCTGATGCAAGTGGTGTTAAGACAGGATGATTCAGAGACATAGAATTGCTTGGAGTTAAGTCTACAAATTTTGTATCAAAATAAAAAAAAGACGTGGAAAAGTAAGTAAGTGGTAACAGTACAATTTCTTCATAATATTTTATTTAATCAATAATTCAATAAACATTAATAATTAATTCAATATTTAATGAAATCTAGTTAAATCATTTCAGATGAAACAAAGTAGTATGAGATGCATTCAAAATATAAAAACAATGCATATCAGTGTAACACCTTGGGGTGCAACTTCTCATTAACAAGTAGACTGACCAGTGAACGACTCTAATGGTCCAACTGTTGAATAGCATCAATCCACACAGACATGAACTGTTCACCTGAAGAGTGTAGAAGAAAAAGTATTACATACTTAGGTAAACATCTCCAGAGAAAATACATTCCACTGATCAAGGCACTCTCTACTCGAACTCATGCAGCCAGCCAGGTGAGGGATTACGGCGAGTTGTCATCTGAAGTGGTGACGACTAGCGGCGTTCGTGAGGGATGCCCATTATCCCCGTTTCTATTCAATTTCATTATAGATGTAGTAATGGAATTAACCCGAACTCACTTCAGAGACTCAGAGATTGACTTGTTACCACCGGGGAATAATCTCGTTTACTAAGAATATGAAGATGATATAGTCCTCTTACCTAAGTGAAGACGCTGACAAAATAGAGCAGAGTCTTCTGAACGCCTTGGGCTGCAATCTACGAATGTTTGGCATGCGATTCGCTCCCTCCAAATGTAAGATGATGTCACAGGACTGGACTACACTAACTCTTAGCTTAGAAATAGGGGATGAAGTAGTGGAGCGTGTTGACCGCTTCACTTATTTGGGAATTTGCATCAGCCAGCCCCAACGGCTTGATCGCTGACGAAATCTCAGCACGGATACAGAAGGCTCGGTTCGCATATGCCAGTTTACACCGTCTCTGGCTTAGTAGACGTGATATTCACCTATCGACCAAAGGGGGTGTGTGCTGCTCATCAGTCCGCCCCGTCCTCCTTTATGTCTGGCTGTGAGCAAGACCTGGCCATTGAGAGTGGAGGACATGAAAAGATTAGCTGTCTTTGATCACAGGTGTCTGCGTCCTATCTCGCGTGTGAAGTGGAATAATAGGGTAAGCAACACTGAGGTTAGACGTCGAGTGCTAGGTAGGTGGGAGGGGAAATCAATCGACGAGGCTGTGAAGCTACATCGACTGAGATGGTTAGGACATGTGTCAAGCATGCATGCTTAGCCATCGCCTTCCTCGACAACTGGCAATGTTAGCTGATATAGGGTGGGTCAGGTTGGAAAAGAGTTAGCTAGCGGCGGTCAAACCAAAACATGGCTTCATCAGTCAATGAAATCCACAACAGTTAGCTTAAGCCAGCCAGTCAGCCAGCCACGTAGGTAGGTGCAGAACTATATACTCACTCGCCGCCGACCTCATCATCAGTGGTGCATCCGGTTTGACTGGGCTCAGAGAGAGCCGAATCAGTTGAAACCACCCCACCCCGATTACCGGCTAGCTACTTTGGAGAACTGATAACACCTTAAATCAAGTTCACGATTTGCAATTTACACAGTTCGAGGAAGTGAAATTCTAGCACAATTTCCTTTGGAAACCAAAATTAGTCAGATCTGTTTGATACCTGGAATGGTAATGGGGGGGGGGGAGAGGATACAGGTGCATTCAGATGATGAGTCCTAAAGTAGAACGGAATATGCGATCCTAGCTACTACCTACCATAAACCACTTCACTGACACAGGAAGCTGGCCAACCACGGAAGTGGGCCAGCATCCGATCCCTGGCTGACTGACTCACTCGCAAACCTCGCGTGAGACTGACTAGCAACCGCATATGGTACAACAACAAAAAACACTGCCGTTAGTGACACTTCAAAGATTAGGCCGCTTTAAGCCCTGTATCCCACTCGCTAGGAGTGCGAAGGAATAAAATTAAAAATTAATTAATTAATTAAAATCACTGAGATAATAAATGCACAGATGATTATTAACTCAACTCACCATGAAGTAGAGATAAAATTCTACACAGCTCAGTATCTACATCAGATTTCGGTATAGTACTTGTAGTAGTATTATCATTATCAATGAAGAATGACATCGACTGATTACAATAACTGCGTACAGCCCATTGTAAAAGTCCTAGTATAAGCTCAGAGTAACTGAAACAATGAAAAAAAATAATATGAGATTATTATAATGTAACTTCCTTGTTCACAATGATTCAAATCAACGAAACTATTGAGATTATTTGTCAGCAGTTTGATCATCTCCCACTCCCAGAGTCGGAATTCAAACGCCTACTGCTAATGTGTGTACCTTGGATGTGCAATTCCAATTCGACAACACTCTTTACCGCCAAATAGAGACAAAGTAGTTATGGGCAGTCCACTTAGCCCTGTTTTAGCAGATATTTATTCATGTCCAACCTTGAAAGAACAAAGTTGAAGCATGCAATCGACGAAACAACTTCCTACTGTCGATACGTTGATGACACATTTATAGTGTGCAAAAATGAAAGTCATGCTTCACACTTACTAAGATTATTCAATGATGCACACGCCAATATTGAGTTCACTATGGAACATGAAAGTGACGGGAAGTTCCACTTCCTCGACATCGCCATGGAACGCCTAGAAGACGGTAGTCTTCAAAAGTCAATTTATCGAAAGTCCACATGGAAAGGACAATACTTACACTTTAATAGCTTTTGTCCAAATAGCTATAAACGAGCACTGGTCAAGACTCTGTACTATAGAGCGAGAAGAATATGCTCTACAGAGAAACTAGAGGAAGAATTTGAGTTTCTTGAAAAGACATTGAAGAGCGATGGGTACCCTCAAAGGTTCATCAACAAGTATGGAAGATCTGGAGTCACAGATGTAAAACAAATCACAGAAAGAAAAAAGCCAATCTACTTTGAGCTTGATTATAAAGGTGAAAACATTGCAGCGATGATCAACAGAAGGCTGAGCACATCACTAGCCATAGCCTATCCTGCAGCTAAGCTCGTTCCCGTCTGTCGAACAACTTGCTCTTTGATGCAATCAAAAATCGATAGATATCCTTCTCATGTTAACTCCAACTGTACATACAAATTTACATGTATCTGCGGGAGCAGTTACATTGGAAGAACAGAAAGAAGGAGGGCATATCTACGATTTTCTGAACATGTACCAAAAAGCTTACGTCTAAAGGGAACAAATGCTTTAAACAGTGCCATTGCCAGGCATCTCCTCGACACGGGTCATGAGGTGGACGTCAAAAAGTTGTTCAAAATTATCGATAAGCAAAAGAGCTCAATTCTTCTTAAGTTTGCCGAAGCAATCTGCATCAAGCGCCTAAAACCTGATTCGTGCGTTCAGAAAGAAGCGGTTATCAACCTTTCTTTGTCCTGGTAACTGGATATTTTTCATCCGAATGCGAGATGCTGAAAAGTTTTCATTGTGTATGATTATTATTGTTCGGAATTGTGTTTATATATATATACATATATATATATATATATATTTATCAAAGGGACTAATTGCTTTAACTATCTCTAATAGCTAGTATAGGCCTTGTTGAACAGCTAAACAACAATGGCCACGTGTCAGGTGGTCCACAACGGAAAACTCAGCGAAACCTTTGAAGTGAAAACAGGTGGACTGGATGAAACGCCACACGGTGCGTGGGGGCCGAGAAGACAGGAATAGGTTGAACTGATAAGAAGACTCTAGAAGGTCTGGATTTCACGAATGATTTATGTTTAATATCACACGGAATTGAAGATCTACACGCGAAAAGCAACAAGTTAGCAGAAGAAGCAGCAAAGCCAGGACTTCAAGATGAGTGTATGGGGAAAGTAAGCAGCTAATAACAACATCAATAAATACTCCAATCACCATCAACGGGAGAAATCTGAAAGAGGTCACTTCCTTCACTAATCTAAGCAGCATCGTTTCAACCACAAGTAGATGGCCACGAATAAGGTTGTCAAAACTAGCCTCCATCACTATCAAATCAGCATATCACTCAGCATAAACAACAAGATTCGGATTAGTTGATAGGCATCTGAATACGTGCGAAAAATGGTCAAAAACCATACTCTCCGACCCCCAACACCCCCTCTATTCCCAACTCTCGCCTTGTATTTCATCAAGTAGAACCAGAAATCAGTATAAAATAATCTATGCTCGTACAACCAAGTACAGGAACTCAACGATACCATACTTAGCTCGTGTTCTAAGTGACAGAGACAATGTTAAGCGCGAAACCTATGACTCGCTTTGTTGTTAATAACATAATTTTAGGCTCTTTTATTTTTCATTCTATGGTGAACTCCTTCTTAAACATACTTAGCTACCTAAATTATTAACATTAACCTACTTTTTGTACTTTACTCTATTCCTTCTTTTGTGTATCTACTGGTTCGCACTATATAAGCACTGTGAGTAGTACAAAATTTTCCTGTCATTAACCATCATGTAATTATTAGTTTTTGTGGCTGTTATTTTTTATTATTATTTTGTTTTTGTTTTTGTTCGGCAATATTAACTGACAATCATTCGTTGTGAACGCCATTATGACCATCTTAAAATTTTGTATTATGCAGGATTACTCACACTACCACCACAAACACCGCATTAGACCTGATAAAAAAAACAACCCTGAAATGTTATTTTATGATTGTTTATTAATGTTTCAACCTAAATTAACTGGTCATCTTGACGATAAACATTCTTTAGTATCAGTTCATAACTTCTTGTATGACTACAGGTTTACTGTCACCATGCATAACCATATCATAGCTTCCACTACCCAATACTGAGATATTATTTTATGTTGTTTATTTTCCTTTCTACTTCCTGGTATTTCTTCGCATTTATAATTATTTTTGTGTTTATCCTGTTGTTTTTTTTGCAGTTCGTGTCTTTAGATTTATTTGTTTTGTTAAATACTCCTTTTAAATGTTTGTAAAATTAGATGCAAATATTGTAGATATATGCTGAAAATTCCACACTGTACCACTAGTACTGTTTCTGGAATAAAGCAAATGATTATTATTATTTTCAACACCAATGTTAAGTAGGTTCTTCTACATGAGAGAAACATTTCCAACAGGTTACAGACTTTCGTTGACAACTGTCTTCTTGGCTCCATATTGAAGATTAAATGACCAGAAATAATTAGCAACAAGAAACTTTTGGAAAACGCCAAAACGAAGAACCTATTGCCTAACAAATATAACGAAGAAAACGAAAATGGGTCGAGACAAGCTGAAGAGACTATCGAATGATATCGCGCGCGCCAGGCCATCACTCGAGTGGAACCCAAATGGGTTGTCCGATGGTGACATGGAGATTGTGCAAGGATCAGATGAGAGACTATGTGAAACCGTTGGACCAGATGCAGAGGACCTCAGAGACTTTACGTTCCACCTGGAACCCAAGGGAACAATAGTAATAGTCAAATGTTTAATATAGGTCAAAAAAATGTAATAAGAATTACACGATGGTAGGTGAAACTGTGATTGGTGGTGTACAGATGACACAAATCCTGACAATTCAACCTGAAAATTTTATACTAGCAAGTACACAGGTGCACGGAAGTGATGTTAGATGGCCAGAGACAATCGACAGGAAGCCATGGACCTGGGGTTTCGTGCTTGTTAACACTCATCACAGCAAGGAGGTGATCAGCACCCACCACCCGCAGAGCCGTGCGATTCAAACCTGCATTATCCAGCAGCACTGAAGTCAGAGACGTTATCACAGTGCTACTCGGACTCACTATTGATTGATCCCCTGTAGAGGACTGCACAATAAAAACACAGATTGATCACACCTAACCCAATCAATAATGAAAGGAAGGGTATAAAATTTTCGGAATAAAATCAATCTCAATAACAAATATCTTTTGTTAATATCACCGATGTGCGTCGGTGGTATAGCGTTTAGGACGCTCGCCGACCATGCACATGGTCCAGGGTTCGATCCCCGGCCACAGACGCACTCCTTTACCTCGCTAAGCCAGAATTAATGCTGGTGAAGAGGAAAGGTTGGGCATGAGGCTAGCAACCCCACCCTGTAAAATAATCACTGCTACAGAAACTTCAAGCCACTAGCTTGAAGGTGCCCTATGTTCCACTGGGGAACGTGAAGGGAAAAAAAAACCTACCCCAGTGCAGCTGCACAACTTAACAATGACATATCTGTTTTCAATGAAGCAACTTGTTCTTGTAATAACTGGATATTTGATCCATTGAATTGATTTTCAGCTTCTAATAAATAATTTACAGCTGTTTGATCTGTTCTACTGTTGCGTTCATTCTCATTAAATTGATTTGTGTAATCCATTTTCTTAATCCATTCCGTTAATTGTAGAGTTAAATATAACTCTAATTTATCCATGCATCGATCACATCGAATTGGTATATTCAACTGTGAAATAAATACATGTATAAAATAAATCAACAGAAAACATTAGAAACAAAAGAAAAACAAAAGTTAATTAATTAATTCATTAATTAATGAACTGATTAATTAAACATTGATTTATTATTATTATTTTTATTATTTTAAATAAAAAGGCAGTTTATAAATCGCTTCTCATTAAATTTTAACACAGAGAAGAGTCGATTCAATTTTTTTTAAAAGATTTTCCCGAAGTGCTCAGTTTCTTCAGGTTGCTGCTGCTGCTGGATTCAACATAGAACTTGGCTGCACCGAAGTGCAGCAGTTCCAGTTCACACGTTCCAAATACCACACATAGGTAGACAAGACAAGAAGATGAGTGAAGAGAATCAATAGAGTCTCGACAAGTATAAGAGTGAAACAGAATGAGTAATGGTAGAAAGGAATATGAGACTGAATACATCTTCGTAAGCCATTGACAACGATTTTGAGCCATGTCACCTATTGTCTGTCTCCAGCCATGGATTGATTCTTAGAGTCCCGAGAGCCCCAATCCGGAAGTCTTCATCTCCCTACCTGAATTGACTCAGTTTAACTGTCAAGGAAGGATTTCATGGATTGATTGATGCCATCCATGTTTTTGTTTGGCCACCACTTCACTTACTCTTTTCCAACCTGCACCTACATCAGCTAGTAATGCCAGTCGGGGGAGGCGGTGGTTAGGCATTCGCACCACGTGATCTAGCCATCTCAATCTATGTCACTTTATAGCCTCTTCTCTTCGATTGATTTTTCCTCTTTGTCCAACACTCTACGCCTGACGTTAACATTACTTACTTACCTTATTATACCATCTAACGCGAGAAAGAGATCGTAAACATATGTGGTCAAAAACAGACAATCTTTACATATCTTCCGCTCTCAATGGCCACGTCTCACCGCCATAGAGAAGGACGGGGCGAACTGTTGAGCAGTATACACGTCCCTTGGTTGACAGCCGGATGTCACGCCTACGCCAGAGACGGTGTAAGTTGACATGTTGGCCACTTGTGTAGATACTTCGACGGTGTCTGGCCATGTAAGTTGAAGTCAACTGGTGGATGGTGAATAGGCATTTCGTCCTATTCGGGATCCATCAGTCGTGTTTACCTGCTTTGGCGTTTGAAACTCTGAACACTGGGTTCGAGCCTCGGTGGGGACACACACACCATCGTTCACCTGGGAACTTCAGGTGAATCCAGATGACGAGAATGAAATGGGATGGATGAAATGTGCATTCTGGATTCCACTGCTAGTCTTTTTTTTTTTCCTTCACGTTCCCCACTGGAACATAGGGCTTCAAGCTAGTGGCTTGAAGTTTCTGTAGCAATGTTTATTTTACAGGATGGGGTTGCTAGCCTCATGCCCAGCTCAACCTTTCCTCTTCACCAGCATTATTTCTGGCTTAGCGAGGTAAAGGAATGCGTCGGTCGGGGATCGAACCGCGGACCATATGCATGGTCGGCGAGCGTCCTAACCGCTATGCCACCGACGCCACTGCTAGTCACCATCCACAAATTGACAGACAAGATTCTATCTATGTACTTTCAATCATTTTATTCATAAGCCATATTATCACTAAAGTTATCCTAAGGGGCGAGAAAGGAAATTCTCAATTTGGACATTTAGAATTCCGAAAAGAAAGAGGAGATTTTGAGTAAAGAATATTCACATCTTCGAGAACTTTCTCACATGCCTCTGCAGTTATATATATATATATATGTATATATATATATATATATATAACTCGAAATTCATAATACACGTTTTTCAGCTCCTTTTGGTGTCCTCTGGTATGGATGGGTTAATTAACACGGCTCTTTCGTTCGGTCGGTTTTCGACATAGAACTTTGAACATATGTGCGGCTGTTCAAGTCGCCACACTCCCTCCTTGTAGCACACAAAGCAACAGAAGAAAGAAATGCATAATATAGACAGTAAACAGAGGTGTGAGACAAAGGAATAGTAATAACGAAGAACAAAACAGTTTCATTGCAAATCATAAGTCACAAGGAGTGGATGCATCTGAGCCACTGAGAACGATTTTGAGCTAGCCATGTCACCAATTGTTTCCAACCATTGGTTTTTACCGTCCCGAGGACCCCAACCAGTCAGGAAGCCAGTCCACACCTTCCTACGTGGCTTAAACTAACTGTTGTGGATTTCATTGACTGGTGCCATGTTTTGGTTTGACCGCCACTGGCTAACTCTTTTCCAGCCTGGCCCTATATCAGCTAACATTGCCCATTGTCGAGGAAGGCGATGGATGACTAGGCATACGTAACACATGTCCTAACCATCTCAGTCAAGGTAATTTCACAGTCTCGTCGACTGATTTCCACTCCCACCTACCTAGCACTCGACCGATGCCTAACCTCAATATTGCTCACCTTATTATACCACTTCACACGGGAGATAGAACGCAGACACCTATGACCAAAGACAGCTAATCTTTTCATGTCTTCCACTCTCAATGGCCAGGTCTCACAGCCATAAAGGAGGACGGAGAGGACTGATGAGCAGTACACACGCCCTTTGGTCCATGTCTGTGCTAACTTCAATGTAAATTGGGCTTTCAGAATCATTTCACCATAGGTGTGTAATAACCGTCTCTCTCTCTCATTAGGACCTTGAACATGAATGGTTGTTTCCTGAGATTTTCATATCCTCTCATTCGTTTGTATTATTACTTACTTATGGACTTATGCTGTCGACTTGATTTTGACATTTTGTCCCTATGACTTATTTTTGTTGTTGTTGAAAACTCTTGATAAGTCTGATCTCTGTCAGTGCATCTATTGATCTCAGACTTATCTGAATACCAGGCTTCTAGCAGTATCCCTACACTTCTTGATGTTTCTTTTCCCTAAACATTTTTGTTGAGGAAAAGATGGGCATTTTATGACCCTTAAGTGTGCTCACCATTGGAGATCTAAACATCATCTTGTGCGCGATTAAACCAGGGGCAAACAAGGGCTATTCTCAGCTATAATTTGGCTCAAGTGTTGGTTTGCAGGGATTTGATTGGTTACAGGATTTTCATCATGAGCTGACATTAGTTAGAGAACCATTGGCAAACCTGGTATACCAGCTCGCCTTGTAACCAGAAGGACCTGGGTTCGAATCTCGGTGGGTGCGTACTGCTGAAGAGTACCAAACTAGACTGACGAAACAGCTGTCCAGTACTCTCTGCAGGTTTTCCAATGGTTCTCTAACTAATGTCAGCTCATGATGAAAATCCTGTAACTAATTTAGCTCATCTTGTAGATATTGAGCGAGCACAAAGCTCATGTTAACAAAGCATTCACAGAGTTATCGATCGCATTCCAACTAATCTTCATTTTAACCTTATGCGTTCATCTTTCACATATATAGCTGAAACTGTCGGAATTCTATTGAAGAAGCCTAACTTCTTATGTATTTAGAAGAAAAGGCTCATTGATACACTTTCCCTTTGTTTTAACTGTCTTTAATTGTCTCATAAATCTTCATTTTAATCTGATTTTCAATTTAGTGTTATATTTTTATACAAAATAGCATCCACACATGCTTCTGTGAACTATAATTCCACTGATCTCGATTACTCAATGTAATTAAAAAAAAAAAATTAATGTCGCCAATAACAATTAAATGTTGTCTATATATATATATATATATATATATAGGATATGAAAATTTCAGGAAACAACCCTTCATGTTCAAGGTCCTAATGAGAGAGAGAGACGATTATTACACACCTATGGAGAATTCTGAAAACATGATATCTCTGGACATAACATCGTTATTCACAAATGTACCTCTAATAGAAACAGTTAATTATATATGTGAACAAGTGGACAAGCAGTCGATAAACATTGGAATCCATATTGAAATCCTACAAGAATTGATATTAAGATGTACCATGAATGTAAACTTCAAATTTGACGGTACGCTTTACAGGCAAGTGGACGGGGTGGCAATGGGCTACCCATTGGATCCGATTCTGACTGATTTCATTCTAAGTAGGCTAGAAAATGGACCTCTGAACAACCTTATCAGTAGGCTCTCCTTTTTTAATGCCGATATATGGATGATACCTTTATTCTTTGTGATAACGGTTCCGATAGGAGTACAATAATTACTGAATTCAATGAAGTACATTCGACTATGAAATTCACATGCGAAGAGGAATCCCAAGACAGAATTGCCTTCCTGGATGTCCTACTTACAAAAAAACCAGATGGTAGCATAAAAAGAAATTTACATAGAAAAAGTACTTGGACGGGACAATATACACACTTTCATAGCTTCGTTCCCATCAAATACAAAAGGAATTTGGTGAAGACCCTTAGCCACAGAGTTAGAGCTATATGCTCTGAAGAAGTAATTAAAGATGAATTAAGCATGGTATATGATACTTTATTCGAAAATGGTTATCCTGACAAATTTATCAAGAAACACATGACAAAGAAAGCGGAAAAGGACTACTCACTATCTGTAAACAAGAAGCCGCCTTATATACGACTGCAGTTCATGGGCGATATACCAAGTGAGTTAATTACAAAGAAATTAAGAAAATCACTTCAAAGGACTTTTAATGCTGGCGAACTACACGTATTATTCTCCACAAGACCGATGGTGCTACCTCGACTGAAACATGAAGTACCTAGACTAGCTAGCCACTTCAAATTGTATCTATCAATTCAACTGCGCTTGTAGTGGAGCAAGTTATATTGACCGTTGCTCTAGGAACTGGATTTTTCGTGCTCGAGAACAAATCCCACTATGACTAAGTAAAGGTGTAGTTAAAACTATTAACAGCTCAATATTAGACCATCTCGTGCAAACCGGTCACAAAGCCAGCCAGCATGGAAGAATCCTTCTCCATAATATACCGGGTGCCTAACAAACTATCAAAATCGTTGAAGCACCGCTTGCTCCAAACACCAGAGGCTATTGCAATTCGCCCCAAACAACCAGTGCTCTGTGTTCAAAAGAAACAAGTCCAGCCCCTACTACTGCCCTGGCCCTCAGTAGAGACTACAAACTCATGAATTTATACCATTACCTTTCCTAATTCTTCTGACATTCAGTTTATTTTATGTTGATGCTACTGAACTGTAATTTATTGATATTATTGAATCGGTGTTATTTAAACAGCAACATTAATGTTGTTCATAAGACTAATTCATTCATTCATTATAATGTATATATAATTGTAGAACCTGATGATGAATTTATCGAAAAGAGTCCTCTTTGTTCAGTTCCGTGTCTATTCTTTTGAGAATTCTGAAAGCCCAATTTATATTGAAGTTAGCACAGAGGATGTTGTGTCTAAAGAGACAACGAAAGCTCCTTATAAAATTAACCCATCTAGACCAGAGGACACCAAAAGAAGCTGAGAAACGCGTATTATGAATTTCGAGTTATTGCTTATCACTCAATATCATTACCGATTTGTGAGTTTATGTTTATGTCCCCATTATTGGTGGCGAGAAAATGAGAACAAAGGCTTTGCGCAGGCGGATACAGTTACCACATAGATGATCTGACACAGCCGTAAAGAGATACAAGGTTAACTTTCTGTGAGAAACAACCAATCAAAAGACTGTACTTTCTACTAACAATTTTCTTTTCCTTCACGTTCCCCAGTGGAACATAGGGCTTCAAGCTAGTGGCTTGAAGTTTCTTTAGCAGTGTTTATTTTACAGGATGTGGTTGCTAGCCTCATCTGGCCCAACCTTTCCTCTTCACTAACATTATTTCTGGCTTAGCGAGGTAAAGGAGTGCGCCGGTGGCCAGGGATCGAACCCCGGGCCATGTGCATGGTCGGCGAGCGTCCTACTAACAATAATGTACATTAAAATCTATAAATCTGTGTTGATTTTCCTTAATAAACGATGTGTTGCCTGGCCCTTGTCTTCTGTTGTTACAGTAGCATGAGAACAACTCAGTAGACTATGTTTAAGAGAAGAGATCTACAGAATCATCAGTAAGTTAGAATGTTTAGTTTTTCCAAAAAAAAATCTAACTATCGTATCTTTATTTTTGTAAGCTCAGTTCAGAAAAGCTTTCCAATTGTAGTGTCTCTATGCATCTTGAATAGACACAGACTGAAGGATACTCAAACCAGCTGCTCATAATCAATATCGTTAAATGCAATGTGACAGTAGTGAAAATCCTCATATGTAAAAAAAAGTAAGCCTCCATCATTAGGCTGAGGTTGGCAACTGCTAAACGATACAATTCCTTCTTTTAAATTTAAAACTGATTATTCATCAACCTGAAACCAATCTGGAAATCTTCGTCACTCAACCCAGCCAACATCAACAACAAAATGATTCGGATTTTCAATACAAACGTCAAGTCAGTCACTTCTTGTATACCGATGGATCAGAAAGTTAGCGGCGGGTCACAAAGAATGAGTATTTCCAACAGCCTGTTGCACACCTTTATCAACAAGTAACTAACTGTCTTCGCTGGCTGGCTCTATACTGAAGATCAATCAGATGGCCGCCGGAAAGAACAAGAATCACCAACAAGAAACAAACAAACTATGGGAAGAAACAAAACAAGACAAGAAGCAATCACCTCAACAAACAATATGCAGGAGAAAGTGGAGATGGATTGGACACTCACTCGCTGGGTGACATCGCGCGTCAGGCCAACGCTCGAGTGGAACCCGATAGGGAAGTGGCGAGTGGGACGTCAGTGCAAGGGTGACACGGAGGAGATCGTGTGAAGAAGAGTGGAAACAGTATGGACTAACATGGATGCAGGTGAAAAATACAGCAGAAGACAGAGGCAAGTGGAGACGTGCAGTTGAAGCCCTATGTTCCATCCACTAGGAACCCAAGGGAACAATAATAATAATAATAACAATAACCTTTGAACATGACTTGATTGATAAGGGAAAATTTCCTTCTCTGAATTGTCTGTTATTTATACCAATTTGACTTCTTATTGCATCATTTAACCGAATGATGAGAGTAACACATAGACGACAACTAAAAGAATAAGATCGAAACTTTAAAATGAAAAAAAAACAAAAAAGAAAACAACTAACTCACCTTAGGATAATCATCAAAATTACTTGTTAAATAGTTTGTAAGCGTTGGATCATAAATCTCTTCGGAATGTACATCTTCTGAAGGCATTGATGATGATGGTGATGATAATGAAATATACTTTAGCATAGGATTATTATTATTACTATTGTTATTATTACTATTTGTTTCATAATCAAATGATGATTTATTAAATATTCTTGATTTATGATTTGGTAGTAGAATGAATTCATCTTCACTTTCAATTGATAAATGTATATCTGGTGCTAAGGAACTGAAACGAATGAACACTATCCAGCGTAATAGATCACCTACAGGTTGTTTTGTTTTTTGGTTGAAAATGAAAAAGAAAAAAGAAAATCATTGAGAAAACAAAAGTTGAGTGAGTTATATACTCACAGTTGTATCACAACGTGTAAATTTATACAAAGATGAAGTGGTTCAAGTTGGCCCCCACCCAGCCACCCACGCACCACTCCATATAACACAGGAAGGTAGACAACAGAATTCAAAGGAACTATTCAAGTGTTGGTTTGTAGGGATTTGGTTGATTGGTTACAGGATTTCATCATAAGCTGACATTGGTTATGGTATGCGAGCTCGCTAGCCTTATAACCAGAAGGTCCTGGGTTCGAACCCCGGTGGGTGTGTACTGATGAAGAGTCCCATACTAGGACGAAACAGTTGTCCAGTACTCCCTGTTGGTTTTCCAATGGTTATCTGACCAATGTCAACTCATGATGAACTCTCCTGTAATTAAAGGAACTATGATAAACGTGAATGTTCGAGACAGACAGAATAAGTTGATGAAGTATAATGAGAATATTGGTCAATATGGAAGACTACAAAAAAGAGTGAATGCATCTGGGGGCTATATCACTGACAGTCTCCAGCGTCTGTCTCAAAGACCTTATAACTAAACAGTCTATACCCCACCTCCATATGGCTGGCTTAAACTAACAGTCAGTGACTTGAAAGATTGATGGCACATTATTTTAGTTGATAGCCCCCCCCCTTAACTCTTTTTCAACCGAATCCTATTTTGGCTAAGATCGCATGTCATGAAAGGCGGTGGCCATTTCATTCAATGCAAGCTCTACAGGCTTATTAATCGACTTCCTCTCTTGGCATAACACTTTATGCCTAACATCAATCGTTACTCACCCTATTATATCACTTAACAGGGGAGATAGAAGGAAAACATCTATAGTCATGGAGAAGTAGCTTCTGCATATCTTTCACTTTCAATGGTTATGTTTCACAGTCATAAAAGGGGACAGAGAGACAACTACTGTGCAGTACATAAGCCCTTTGGTCGATAACCGAATATCACATCCACCCTAGAATGTTACTTTGGTTTAATATTACCATTGTACTACGATTTGAAGGTTAGAACAAGAGAGAAGATGCTTAAAAATAAGGCTTTCCATTTCAACTCGATAGTATTTGTTACAGGATTTCATCATGAGCTGACATCATTTAGAAAACCATAGGAAAATCTGGGAGTAATGGACAGCTGTTTCGTCAGCCTAGCTTGGGACTCTTCATCAGTACGCACCCGCCACCAGGGTTCGAACCGAGGACATTCTGGGAAGTCGTGACTATTAGGGTACAGCAAGTCAGATGTGGGGACAAAAAGTTGCCACCGATGACAATAACTAGTGGTCGCGCTATGTCGTGAATTGGCGGAATTTGGAACTCATCGACCGACCATTGGATCGGGTCCCAGTGGCTTTATGGTCTACGAGCTCGGCTTATAACCAGAAGGTCCTGGGTTCGAACCCTGGAGGCGGCGGTCGGTCGGTCGGTTTTCGACATAGAACTTTCCACATATATGCGGAAGTTCAAGTCACCACACTCCCTCCTTGTAGCACACAAAGCAAGAGAAGAAAGTAGAAGAAATGCATATTAGAGACAGTAAACAGAGGTGTGAGACAAAGGAATAGTAATAACGAAGAACGATATAGTTTCATTGGAAATCATAAGTCACAAGGAGTGGATGCATGTGCGCCAGCCATTGACAACGATTTTGAGCCATATCACCGATTGTCTCCAGCCATGGGTTTTTACTGTCCCGAGGACCCCAACCAGTCAGGAAGCCAGTCTACACCTTATTACGTGGCCTAGACTAACTGTTGTAGATTTCATTGACTGGTGAAGCCATGTTTTCGTTTGACCGCCGCTAGCTCTTTTCCAGCCTGATCAATGCTATATCAGCTAACATTGCCCATTGTCGAGGAAGGCGATGACTAGACATACGTAACACATGTCCTAACCATCTCAGTCGATGTAATTTCACAGTCTCGTCGACTGATTTCCCCGCCTTACCTAGCACTCGACCAAAGCCTAACCTCAATATTGCTCACCTTATTATACCACTTCACACGGGAGATAGAGCGAAGACACCTATGATCAAGGACAGCTAGCCAGGCTTTTCATGTCTTCCGCTCTCAATGGCCAGGTCTCACAGCCATAAAGGGGGACGGAACGGACTGCTGACCAGTATACACGCCCTTCGGTCGATAGTCGGATATCAGGTCTACGCCAGAGACGGTGTAAACTGGTATATCCGAAACTAGCCTCTGTATTCGTACTGAGATTTCGTCGGAGATCAACCCGTTGGGGCTGATGGTACTTCCCAAGTAAGTGAAGCGGTCAACGTGCTCTACCACTTCACTTCCTATTTCTTATCTACGGGTCCGTGAAGTCCAATCCTGCAGCATCATCTTACATTTTACAGGGGCGAATCGCATGCCAAACATACGAAGATTGTTGCTCAAGGTGTTCAGACGACTCAGCTCTATTTTGTCAGCGTCTTGGCCTAGAAGGACTATATCGTCTGCATATTCTAAGTCGACGAGATTATTCCCTGGTAGCAAGTCAATCCCTGGAGGCGGCGGCGGGTGAGCATTGATGAAGAGTCCCAAATTAGGATGAAACAGTTGTCCAGTACTCTCAGGTGATTTCCAATAGTTCTCTAACCGATGTCAGCTCCTGTAACCAATCAATCAAATACCTACAAACCAGTACTTGAATATCGTTGGTATTTGACAGATTATGCCTAATAGTGCAATCCAGGAGCTGAAATGCTTACATAGGCTGATCATTTCAAGTTAGCAAAATCTTACAAAATAAAAAGTCGAACAATGTTCAATGATTTGGCCTTCGTGTCACCAACAGTATTTATAAGAGGCAACTGCAGACATTTCCTCAAAACCTACTCCCTTCTATGGCGAGATACTGAAGATCAAATGGCCAGCTGGAGAGAGCACAAGCAATGAGGAACTCTAGCAGGCAGTAAAACAACCATGAATCTATTGCCAAGGAAATTTTGCGGAAGGAAGTGGACCGTTGAATGACATCACACACGTCAGACCTTCGAATGGATCAAAAACTGGAAAGGATGAGCTGGGCATGGGATCCGAGAGTGACATGGAAGACATCGTGCAAGGAGGAAGTGATAAGTACATATATGTTTAGTAAAACAAATCCTTTACTAATGCATAACATAAAGTATAACCCTAATCAAATCAAATAAAATAACACTGGTATCAAATGAGAATTAGACAATGACGAACCTGAAAGTTTCAATTTCGATAAAGCCCGTTCATCAGTCCCACAATGTGCACTGATGTTTAAACGTTGATCACTATCTATGCTGACGGAATTACGCAGAGGTTCATTCGGATTGGGAGCAATTTGTACATCACAATCAAAACTCTAGAAAAAAACAAAATAAATAAATGTGAAATAATAAGAAAAACGATATCCATCATATTTTTAATAACTGATTACATATTGTGTAAGAAATAGTTATCAACATTCTCAGAAACTGTATACTACACACAATAATAATGATAATAATAATAATTTGCTTTATTCCAAAAACAGTACTTGTGATACAGAATGGAATTTTCAGCATTAATCACAATATCTTGCATCTAATTTCCTCAAATTATAAATAAAAATTAGTCACACAGAAAATATTTTCCACAATTACAATAGGGGTAATGTCAAAAAAAACATGCAGCATATAAAATGGAAATAATAATAATGATAACAGCTGAGGTAATGATAATAATAATACAAGTGAAAATTGCCGTGGGCTTGTTTCACACAGTATTGTCGATGCGGTATACAAATCCTTGCATGATTAAAAAATATTGAATATAATGTCCTCTTTACATGATGTGGTGAGGGGAAAAACAAAAATTACAGAAGTCATAGAGACAAGTTGGTGTTTGCAATTATGAAAGTAAAACAAAGAAGCAACAGGACCATAAATATAATAGAAATAATAAAAGTAAAGCTTGAAGGTATATAAAGATGGATGGAGGAGATTGTTTATTTACTAGATGAAAAAAGGTTAGTCAGTTCTTGCCTGACGCTATTTTCATCACATAATATACGTGCAAAGTATAGTATCATAGAATTTTTATACTTAGACGTGTGAGCATACAGTTTTCTGAAGTTACTTCTTGTTCTACCTGAGGAGATGCAAGGTAAAAGGTGAGGGTAAAGTGGATGCTCCATGTCAGACAAAATACCTCTAGCAAATTTACTGCACGAAGTCAAATGCCTATCAACAACGACGTTAAATATGTAGTCCACTGGAACACCACTCATCCTACTGACAGTCTTCAGCATTCTACGAATTGTGACATAGTCCCTTTTAAGCAAACCACGAAAGAATAATGGTGAACAATAAAGAGGAATAGGTAGGATGCAAGAGTTGATGAACTGTAGGAGGAGGGGGGTTGAATTATACCCGAGTGCCTTAACTTCTTAATGTAAAATGTCAGGCGGAATATTTTACTGGAGATCGCTAAGACATGGGAAGACCAGGAGAGATTAGAAGAGAGAATAAGTCCAAGATACTTAATTTCTGATTTAATTCCTATATCATTGTCATCAATCTTACAACTTTCATGAGACTCGACGGCTTCTTTTAACTGTCGTTTACATCTTAAGCTGAAATTAACAGTTTGACATTAAGAAGGATTCAGTTTAAGACTGTTAGACTCAGACCATCTGGTGACAACTGAAATAAAATAAGGGAATACGTATGCTCGTCAACCACGGACGTGGTCAGGCTTAGGGGTTTCTAGCCAAAGCGCTTGTGAACCTCGGCAAGCTTACTAACTGGTATAAGTAAACACAGAATAGAGTGCTCCGCAAACGCTCTCTGTGGAAACAACAAATAACACGGCTACCGAATCTTCGTCTGAAGGCATTTGAGTGGTTTGAAATTAGATCATAAAGTGATATCAGTTAGATAACCGTTGAAAACTAGGGTGTGCTGAACAGCTGTTTGATCCCAGTTGGACCTTCAGGCCACAAAGTCAGTCCATCTAGCCACTGAGACGGAGTCCATCCAATTGGTAGAAGTTCGAAATCATGAGTCACTACTGCATTCAATTTCATTGGTTAAATGGTCGACGGGCTCGCTCACCTTATAAGATGAAAGTCTTGGGTGAACACTCCTCAGTGGGGTCATTCATGGGTGTGTGTATTTGCTGATGAGTCACACACAAGCTAGAACGAAATGGCCATCAAGCACTTCGTGGTTTTCGATGCTTTCCTAACTGATATCAATCCATAATGTAACTTCAAACTTTCTAAGAAATTCTCAAAAGAATGGATACTGAACAAAGAGAACTCTTTTCGATAAATTCATCATCGGACTCTATAATAATATATACATTATAGTAAATGAATGAAATGATAATACTGTTATATGTCCTGAGATGGATAATGGTTTAATTGTGAGGCATTTCATTGTCACTGCAGGCAACAGTTTTATTATTATTATTGTTTCCTTTAATTATTAGAGGAACATAGGGCTTGCCTTCGGTTCTCTGCTAGAGTCATCACCTGGCTCCAAGTCTCCCCACACGTCTTCATCTCCTCTTCATATGACCTACTCCAACTCACCCACCCTCGCATTGACGACCAACTCGCCGCTTCCAATAAAGTCGGGTTCCAATCGAGCAATGGCTTGTCTAGTGATGTAACTCACTTGATGGTTTGTTTCCTCAGAGTATGGCCAGCCAATCCATTCCATCTCCATTTTTTCCTGCCTGCCTATTTCTTTCACAATCAGTACCTGCTGTGTTGGTTGGTTCGCTCATTGCCAGAGATCCCTCTCTGTTGCTGATCTCTTCTGGCCGGCCGGCCGGCCATCTGAACTTCAGTGGTATTGAGCGAAGACAACTAGCTGTTAATGAAGGTGTGTAGTTTGTTTGAGATGCTCTTTATGATGCGCAGTGCAAGTCTCTGATCCAAAGCCTCAGGATGGTCGGGGGTGGGTGCCTTGCGCTGCGGGTTGGTCACTCCTCTGCACACCTCTTGAAATGCTCCCATATGACCGGGCGTCTTACATAGCCTCTCCTGAGGAAGTCCTACTCACTGCCTTCACGTGGCGGAGGTGTTTTTCACCAAAGTGAGAGGGCGAAAGCGGGTGCCCGGCGCTCTTCACTGGGTTGACTTTCCATTGGATGACAGTCTAGGGGAGATGGCTAAACCCTGATTCCAAACCTCCAACGACTGGCGTATGAAGCTCACTGGAGCTCACCGGAAGACGTATGGACAAAGGGCTTGTTCGATGTCTGGCCCCATTCAAAAAGGCGTATGAACCGAACTCCGGTCACCGGCTTCCAATGGATAGTGGACTCCCTACTCCACTCCTACTGCCTTGTAGGTCACACTTGGTTGTGTAAAGGCTAGAGCTGCTCTCTCAAACAAAAGGCTGAGCGATTCTGGGGACATCACTCGTACCAAATTCCCATGAAACTTCATGAACTCTCTCCGTCTACGGACTCCGTCTGTGGAACAAGAATTGGATAACCCTGTCGCAAAACCTTGCATCAGATCGCCGCGCCTGGGCAGCGATGATTCGAGATGTCCATGAAGCCGCCTCATCCTCTCGTAGGAGATAGCCGAAGTAAAGTAAGTAAGTATAGTGAGTAGCACTGACTGAATTCACATTGGAGTTGACAATCCGGGTCTTATCTTCGTTTCGATGCTGACTGAGTAGGGCTGTTGACCTCCTCCACACAGACTTGAGAGTAGTGAAAGCTTGTCTTACTTTTCCGATCCTCGCTGCTTTGATATCCTCGTCAGTTCCGCTGGCCTGTAGTTGAGACGGTGCTTCCCAGGTAGGTAGGTAGGTCGGTTGGTGAAGGAGGTTGTTTCTTTCAGGTTTTTTCCATTTATGCTGTCTGATTGTTGTCTGTTTTTGTCTGTTGTTGTTGTTTCTGTTGTTGGTGTTGGTGTTGGCCAGGAATCTTCATCACCTCTCCGGATGCTTCTTCTGCCCACTTGTTGCTTTTCGCTTGCATATCTTCCAGTGTTTGTGGGAAATCAGACACAACAGTTTTAGTACACCTAATTTTTATAAATCACATCAAGAGAATTACTAACACAGTTAAAGCGATAGTCATAAGTATAGGGATATAAAAAATGAACTAAGGATAGGTAAGGTCATATATATTCAATTTCATACATACAAACATACCCCCACACACACGCATACATACACATATATATATATATATATATGCCATAAAAATAAACAATTTCACCAAATAGTGTAACAATCTTTTATAGCTTAATCACTTAACAGATAAAATTATCGATATATATATATATATATATATCAATAGAAAAATGCAAAAACAGCCAAAAGGAGGAGAATAGTTACAGAATCCTAAAGAAAAACCAACAGAAGAGACATATAGATGAACGGGAAAAAAGGAAAGATAGAGAAGAGGAGAAAAAAACAAACAGAACAACAGATTAAACTAGGTCAAATGAGAAACCGGAACACAGAAAAGCAAGAAGTATGCATAAAATGGACAGAGAGGCGGAGAGAGAGTGAGAAATAACCCTATTGTCATGTCAGTATTACTATCCCCCCCATTAGCGTATGGACAATGTTATAATATTATAAAATTGACACAAACTCTGGTTGATAACAATTATCCAGACAAGTTCATCAGGAGATATAAAGTAGTCAGAACACCAAGACCCACTCTCCAACTCGCCCCTAAGAAAGACGTATACATCAAGCTACCCTATATGGGGCATCAAAGCAGCTTGATAACTAGACAAAGACTGAACGCTGCTGTCAAAAAGACTTTTTATGCAGCCAATATCATTATAATAGAGAATGTAAAGCAAATATATCTATCCAAGCCCTTCGAACATGAGAAAAATGACGTCACATCCCACTGTATTTACCAATTTGAATGTACGTGTGGACACACATACATAGGGAGGACTCATCGATCTCTGCAAGTAAGCGCTTCAGAGCATATTCCTAAATGGCTCCAGAAACAAATGGAATCTTCAGAACCCATTAATGGTGAGAACAGGAGACCTAGCTCCTCTATTGCAAAACATATTATAGAAACAGGACATAAAATGGACGTTAACAGATCTTCTAAACGTATCTATAAAACGTGTTTGGGGCGTATCCTAAAGTTTGTGGAAGCCGTAGCTAGCAATTAGAAAGTTTAAGCCACCTTTATGCGTTCAAAAACAATTTGTTATCACATTAAACCTTCCTTGGTAAGTTTTGTTTTGATACCGTAGCAGATGTACTATTACCTCTGTTATTTGGTTTAGTGGTCTTCATTGTTACTTTGACCTTGAATATGTTCCTTTAAACTTGACCTAAGTCTATTTTTCTCACCTCTTACCTCTTTATTAATTTCATA